CTATAAACGCGTGATATTGATTCTAAATGTGGAGAAAAAATCGGAAAATATGGAGAAAAATCCACGCGACTTTGGGGAGAGAGAGAGAGACACACACAAACTTCAAATATATGCAGAATATAGTCAGAGGGTTTGTCCCCTCTACATTTGCGCTAAAGAGGAGCGTTGCATCAACTTAGAGACTATAAGGACAAGTGCTGTCGTGAGGTGTACTGATATCACAAACACAAAGGCCCTCTCCAGGAGAGCCTTGGCTATTGAGGCAGCCGCTGTTAGTGAGCACCCGTTGAGGCCTGTACGGCGCACGAGGGGGTGGTGTGGCCTGGCGGCTTTTGTATCCCAGATACGGATGTTTATACTGAACAGTGCACTGGGTACTCGTTCGAGACCAATTCGTCCCTGGAGAGTCACAGAACCCGTTCAGGAATCGCTCGCCACTCATGTTAGCCATGGCCGGGAATTGAACTCAGGTCGCTACGTTCATGGGTAAGTGCGTGAACCACCGTCCCACCACTACCCACCCCTCAACACTCACGGAGACCTTTAACTAGTAGGGAAGGTTCTGTTATGCATGCCGCACACAAATAAAGTACATCGCTATTTGTCACATCTGACAAACAACAATAATAATTATAATAATAAAGTGGGTTTAGGCGAACCTCAGTGAAACTTGCCGATTGCTTAACTTTGTCATTTCTGCATACGTTTTACGGGGCTATATACCGATCAAGCGACACGCTGGGATGCATCGCTGGTGCAACGTCAACGTTGGCACGGTGGGTGGGGGGTACAGATGAGTGACTCGTGAGTGAGGGGACCGCAGACTGCCCTGGGACCCGCTGTTGGTGCCGAGTCGCCCCCGTTGCTTCACGCCAGGGTCTCTCTCTCTCTCTTCCCTCTCTCTATCCCACGTGCTCCCATCTCCCTCTTCTCCACCGTCTTCCCAAATGTAGTCCCCCGCCCCACGTCTGCCGAGAGTCTTCGGATGCGGTCGCGGCTGTGACGCTCAACCTTTCCTACACTTTGTGTTTTAAAGTCACGTTATATATATTTTATTATTTTATTGTTTCCCTTCAACGTGACTTTACCGAAAGAGCTAAGAATATGAATTACTGCAGTCACGAAAGCTTTAAATCACAATTTTTCACGCCTTTGTTTGTTGTTGTAACGTTGTGACCCCGTGCCCCCACTGAGCATCCGTTTGGAAAAAAAGAGCTTCATAGCTCATCGGATTCCTCCAGTATAAATATTTCGATTCCGTTGTTGTTGGTACACTGGCCATCGAGCTATTTTGCAAAGAGTTAAATTCCTGTTTCCTACAGTGTCCATCTGACACACGTTGCCTGGCAATGAGAGCACAGTTGGTTCTGATCCGTCAGCTTTGATGATTTTAAATGTATTATTTTAGTTAAAATTTTTATCATTTAAATTTTTATTCCATTGAATTTTATTTTCTCTCTACGCGGCTTTACCGAAAGAACCAAGAATAAAAGCTTCTTATCAATCATCCCCTTATCAGCAAGCAGCCTTGCCCGCTACCATCGTCATCGTGACCAAGACGAGTTCCAGTGGACACAAACACAGAGAGCCTACCCCAAAAATTGTAAATAAATTTTAATTTGATAAACGAGCGAGGGTCTTGCAATACGAGCAAGTAAGTATACGCTTTGTCTGCCTAGCATCACGTGATCACAACTGATATACGTTGCGCTTTGATATACGAGTGCTTTGGCTTACAAAACACGTTCCCGGAACGAATTATGCTCGCAATCCAAATTTTTACTGTATGTTGAAAGTTTTAATTTGTTACCGGAGTCGCGCGGCATTTGCCGTGAGACTCGTCAAGAGCCGTGGCGTTGGCGGGAGATGGTTTGGAGCCAATTGTGTGGCCCCGCTTTCAGAAGCAGCCCGAAACACCACCACACCCACCCCGCCCAAATGAGGAACTAAGATCGTGATGTTCAAAACAAAAAAAAAAGAAATTCGGCCACCCACCCCTTTCCTCTTTTACATCGTTGTTCCCAATTCCAAAACACGTTGACAAGATCACCATTTGTCACGGTAGGTAGACCGCCCATCAGGTTGGGGGCATCGTCCGGGATTGACTGCTCATCGCAACGTCTCCGGAACGGTACGGACGACGACGAAGACGAAGACGACCCAAACCGGTGGCCGATTTGACGGCGAAGGGAGAGCACAGAGGCATAGCGAGAGAGAGGAGAGAGAGGAGAGAGGAGAGAGAAACACGCCGGGGGAAGCACAACCACCGTGGAGTAAGGACATCCGATGTTGCGCGCTCTCACGAGTCGAATCCATCACGGCGTGACGGTTAAGCCACCGCTCGCGCGAATTGCTGACGTGACGGCACCCACTACGGGGGATGCGCGTTGCCTTCATCCAGCAGCGAATAGAGCTGGGCCCGACTGGTGATGGCCAACGCTGCTATATTAAACGCGTGCAAACGGGGAGTCACCTGCAGTTGCTGCTCGTTGCATTGTGCGATCGCAACGGCGATGCCGGCGTGTTAGTTTACGCAGGGCAGGCACGAACATCCACCCCCCCCCCTCCCCGTCACATGCCTGAGCTTCGGGCATGGCACATCAAGGATCGGAATGTCATCGCAACGTCTACAAGTGCGCGGTTGACAAGACGTCCTTCATCATCATCATCATCACCAAGCACCACCATCATCAGCATCATCACCGCCGCCACCTTTCCCACCCCGCACCTCCGATTAGCGCGCTCCGCACGGTGCGAAATAAGTTCAACACACAGTGACACACGGCACGCACACACAGACACACACCACACACACACAGTGACAAACGGCACGCACACACAGACACACACCACACACACAGTGACATACGGCACGCACCCACAGACACACCACACACACGCACACAGTGACATACGGCACGCACACACAGTGACATACGGCACGCACACACAGTGACATACGGCACGCACACACAGACACACACCACACACCGACACACACACACAAAGACAAAGATCCCCCATATAGCCTTTGCAGACTGTAGGGGCAAGTGCTGTTAGCGAGCACCTATGAAGGCCGGCAAGGCACACGAGGGGGTGGGTGGCCAACACCACGCCGGCCGCCTTTGTCTCCCCAGTGGCCATGTTTACACATTGCACAAAGTACTCATTTGGGACCGAGTCGACCTTGCTAACTGGCTGTGTTGGGTGGTGTCGGGTTTAACGACACATTTGTAATTACGAGATCTAGCCCACACACAGTGACAAACACCACACACACACAGACACAGTGACACACAGTGACACACACACAGACACAGTGACACACAGTGACACACACACAGACACAGTGACACACAGTGACACACACACAGACAGACACAGTGACACACAGTGACACACACACAGACAGACACAGTGACACACAGTGACACACACACAGACAGACAGTGACACACAGTGACACACACACACACAGACAGTGACACACAGTGACACACACACAGACAGACAGTGACACACAGTGACACACACACAGACAGACAGTGACACACAGTGACACACACACAGACAGACAGTGACACACAGTGACACACAGACAGACAGACAGTGACACACAGTGACACACACACAGACAGACAGTGACACACAGTGACACACACACAGACAGACAGTGACACACAGTGACACACACACACAGACAGACAGTGACACACAGTGACACACACACAGACAGACACAGTGACACACACACAGACAGACACAGTGACACACACACAGACAGACACAGTGACACACAGACAGACACAGTGACACACAGTGACACACACACAGACAGACACAGTGACACACAGTGACACACACACAGACAGACACAGTGACACACACACAGACAGACACAGTGACACACAGTGACACACACACAGACAGACACAGTGACACACACACAGACAGACACAGTGACACACACACAGACAGACACAGTGACACACACACAGACAGACACAGTGACACACAGTGACACACACACAGACAGACACAGTGACACACAGTGACACACACACAGACAGACACAGTGACACACAGTGACACACACACAGACAGACACAGTGACACACAGTGACACACACACAGACAGACACAGTGACACACAGTGACACACACACAGACAGACACAGTGACACACAGTGACACACACACAGACAGACACAGTGACACACAGTGACACACACACAGACACACACAGTGACACACAGTGACACACACACAGACACACACAGTGACACACACACAGACAGACACAGTGACACACAGTGACACACACACAGACAGACACAGTGACACACAGTGACACAGACAGACACAGTGACACACAGTGACACACACACAGACAGACACAGTGACACACACACAGTGACACACACACAGTGACACACACACACAGTGACACACCACACACACCACCGGCATCTCATCCGGCTTCACTCGGTCGCTGTCAGTCGAGTCTCTTGAGCCACACTCACGAGGTCTGGTCACCTTCACGATCGCGTCAACAACAACACCAACAACACCACCACCACCACCAACAACAACACCAACAACACCACCAACAACACCAACAACAACAACACCATCTAGCGCGCACGACGCACGCGCGGCGCATCTGGCTGCAACCACGGGCAACGGCGTGGAGTGGCACGGCGCGTGGCCCCGCAGCGACCGGCGAGTGGCGATTCTCTTCCTACGGAGCTCCCACGCCACGAGAGAGCGGCAAAGACTCGGGCCGAATGCCGCCGCTACTCACGGAGACACCCACCACCACCACCCAACACCACCACCACCAACCACACACCAACAGCAGCAGCAGCAACAACAACAACACGGGCTGACAGCTCCTCCGCCTGCGAGGCGGCCTAGGCAACCGGCACAGCCTACGGTGTCGCCTGGGGCCACCGTACCCGGGGAAAGGCGCCCCGCTGCCCGGCAAAGGAGCCCCTCACCTGTCGCGGCCGGGCCGCTGCCGGCCTCGGCGGTCTCCTCCCCGGGGGGCGACGTCTCGGAGCGGGCGCCGTCACCTGTCCCCGCGTGGTGTTCCGCGGCGGCATCGACCTCCTCCTCCTCCTCCTCGTCCTCGTCGTCATCGTCATCGTACTTCTTGCCTTCGTGAATCTTCGTGGGGGTGACTACGAAGCGCACCGGCATGGCTCTGAAGACGCCTGCGCCTTGGCGCGTGCTCGACCGCGGGCAGCGAGAGAAGCGCGCGCGCGATGTTCGCGCCGTCTCTAGCGGCGTTTCAAACTTTTAAACCCGGGGGAGGGAGAGAGGGAGGGGGTAAACCCTCCCTCTCTCTCTCCCTCCCCCCTTACCCCCCGCCCCCCTTACCCCCTCCCACCCACCCCCTTACCCCCTCACCCCCTCCCTCCCACCCCCTTACCCCCTCCCTCCCACCCCCTTACCCCCTCCCTCCCACCCCCTTACCCCCTCCCTCCCACCCCCTTACCCCCTCCCTCCCACCCCCTTACCCCCTCCCTCCCACCCCCTTACCCCCTCCCTCCCACCCCCTTACCCCCTCCCTCCCTCCCCCTTACCCCTCCCTCCCTCCCCCTTACCCCCTCCCTCCCCCTTACCCCTCCCTCCCCGTTACCCCCTCCCTCCCCCTTACCCCCTCCCTCCCCCTTACCCCCTCCCTCTCTCCCCCATACCCCTTACCCCCTCCCCCGCTCCCTTACCCCCTCCCTCCCTCCCCCTTACCCCTCTCTTCCTCCCCCTTACCCCCTCCCTCTCTCCCCCTTACCCCTCTCTTCCTCCCCCTTACCCCCTCCCTCCCCCTTACCCCCTCCCTCCCTCCCCCATACCTCTTACCCCCTCCCCCGCTCCCTTACCCCCTCCCTCCCCCTTACCCCCTCCCTCCCTCCCCCTTACCCCCTCCCTTCCCCCTCTCTCCCCCCCTTGCCCCCTCCCTCCGGACCGAGTCGCCTTGTTCGGCGTTGATCTCCCGCCTCGGGAGTGACGCTCGAATGGGGGGGGGGGCGCGTAGCTGGGGCGGGGGTGGCGTGCGACGTGGGGATCATTGCCCCCGGGGTGTTTTCCGAATCCCCCCCCCACATACCCCCCACATACCCCCCCCACATACCCCCCCCACATACCCCCCCCACATACCCCCCCCCACATACCCCCCACACATACCCCCCCCCCCACATACCCCCCACACACCCCCCTACCCCCTCCCCTATTCCCCCATACCCCCCCCCCTACCGCCCACACCCCCCACCCCTCCCGCGCGCTGACTCACGTGCGTGGGCGGCGCGCCAACCCGATGGGGGGGGGGGGGGGGGAGTTTGCGCGATGTGATTGGTTGTGGTTTCAGTGGGGGGCGGGCTTTGGGTGATGTGGGCGGGGGCTTGTTGCGGGGTGGGCGTGGTTACAACCGCGGGTGGGCGGGGCTTGTACAGAACCAACGCGCGCACGTTAAAACCAATAACAGAGGTTCTTTGGGGCCAATATCAATAAAAACCGGTTAAATGTAATGCTGTAATAACCGCTTTTTAAAGATATAAACTGTTACTGTGTTGTCAATGATGCCTGCCAGGTGAGTTCAAATGCTCATTGGGTGTTGACTCGGGCCATAATTAATCATCATCCCTTCGGGGTCGATAAAATATCTACCTGTAACGCGCTGTTATCCACCCCGTTGGGGGGGGGGGGGGAGGAGGAAGTCGACATCTGTGGCCGGGAGTGGAAATTGCAAGGTCACCGGGATCTGTTGCTACCGCTTTTGTGATGTTTTTCTTTGTTGCGATTTTACCACTGACGACGACGCAGTAGTCGTAAAAATAATATAAACCGACTTAATTACTATAAAGTAACGAACTTAAATGCAGAAGCGGGACACGGAGCGTTTATGGATCGGCACGGAATGAAGCACACGCCAACTCGTTTCGCGACCTCTGTTTCTGTTCGATATATCGTGCGCGTTATAAATAGGTGTCGTCCATGAATAAGGTACAATTGACCAGGGTGTGAGTTGGGGTGACTTGTTGTTTTTAACACTGTGGCAGGAAACATGTGGTACATTAACCACCATCCTTCAGGTGGTTAATGTACCAGGTGAACCCACGAGATACCTTGCTGATCTCGTTAAGGAGCATAAACCATCACGCGAACTCCGATCATCCTCGCAGCAGCGGCTTTTGGCTCAGCCATCGAACAAAGGCAGTGGTCACCACATTTCAGATGCGTTCCTGCGGCCGTCTGGAACGCTCTTCCTTCTGATATTAGAAAGCCATGGGGATATATGCACTTTGAAGTCACCATCTAGACTGACAAATGTATTTATTTAGAACCCCTTTTTGACTTCAGCTTGTCTCCCACGCGCCTCCGATTAGCACGCACGGTTGGCTACGCACGGTGCGAAAGAAGTTCAGCATTGTACATACAGGGGTGACGACACGTTCCTAACAAGCCCCTTGCGTATTCTCGCCCACCCGGTGTTAAGAGACGCGTGCAGGGTGCTACGTCAATCCAAAAGAGTTTTTTTGTTGCGTTTGATCGCATAAATGTCTTTAAACTCGCCATCACCCAACACAGCCGGTTAGCAAGGTTTGTCGCGGAAACAAAATGTGCCAATTCGTTACTAGTTCCGCACTAACCGGCGTGTTGGAGAGTAAACCCGCTACAGCATTTACAATCCGAGTACCGTGTCGTTTCGCTGGTAATTACAACCAGCATTATCAGGCGACGGCCAGAGTAATGGAGAAATCCAGGGTTCGGTCTTAAATATTTCTCCATAACTCTGGCTGTCGCCTGATTATGCTGGTTGTTGTAATTACCGGCGAAGCGACACGCTACTCAGATTGTACACAGGGGCGGGAGCCAGGATTTGGACTTTGGGGGGTGCTGACTTCAATATTCTGAGATATCCAGTTTATGTTTTGCAATGGGCGCCACAAATGTATAAAACACATTTAATTGGATTTGAACGCGGAGTTTATTAATAGGTCGGAGCCGTTGATGTCGCTGATAAGTTTGATAAGTTCGAAAGGCTGCCGCTCAAGCAGCCTGCAGGACAGCACAAGGTGGCAGCCTGCAGCATTTTGCAGCAGCCGGATATCCGGTTACTTTCCCAAAATTTCAGGGGGGGGCTGAGCCCCCCCCCAGCCCCCCCTGTGGCTTCGCCCCTGATTGTACATGCTGTGGGTTTACTCTCCACTACGCCGGTTAGTGCGGAACTAGTAACGAATTGGCACATTGTTTCCGCGACAAACCTTGCTAACTGGCTGTGTTGGGTGGTGTCGGGTTTAACGACACATTTTTAATTACGAGATCTAGCCCAAAATAGCTCTATTATGGATAACATTGGTCGCCAAAGCCTCCCACGAAGACTGCGTGTTCAACTGCTACGTCATGATTGGTCGAATCGATGGTCTCGGGTCTTGTTTCACACCTCTTGTAAAAGCCATCGTTGTTCAACAAGGGTCGAGCGAGGTCGATGTCTCTCCAGCGGAACAAACGGGCGGCACTTAACTCGGTCGGCGTCACAGAGGTCGCAGAGTGGGTTGGAAACTCCACGTTGCCATGGGGAAGGAGCCAGTCGGAGCGCTCTCTCTCTCTCTCGCTCCATGTAACAGCCATTGCGACAAAAAGTGTTAAAATTTGTGATAAAACATACGGGGAAAAGCGCCGACAGCAGCATGTCTAACCCAAACGTGTTCTCTCTGTTTCGCCAAATGTCAATTAGTAAATTCAATACAGTAACCACGGGGGATTTGAAGAGTACGGTAAGTCAAACGCAAAAAACTGACTTTTACAGACATGATGCATAGCATGACACCACCCAAGTGCATGTACAAACAATGCACACAGCCTTGCTTGAGATCAACCCGCTTCAAGAGTCAAAACACTGTGGACATTTCAGAATTCAGACAGCTGCAGAACAATGCGACAACTGTAATGAATGGATCTTGATCTGAAGCTTTAGTGACTGCAGGAATCCATACTCTTTGGTTCTTACGGGTAAAGTCACGTGGGTAGAAACAAAATAAAAATAATATATCACGACGTTTCGATTCTGGTTCAGCAGTTCCACTGCTGGATTATTTTTTCCGCCCGAGGACGACCACTTGTGTTGCGATCGAAACGTCGTGATATATAATTTTTATGTAGTGAATGGGTTTTTAAAAGTGTTGGGAATCATCAGCACGGTGTTATCCGACATTGCGCGTCAGGAGCTTCGTATGTGGCAGACGACCCGGAAGATATTTGGGGATAAATTAATTCAAGGTGAGAATAATGTCCTCTACTCTCTGGTTCTTTCAGTCACGAAGATAGAAAAAATAATAAAACACGACGTTTCGGTCGCAACACAAGCGTCCGTCTTCAGGTGAGAAAAAAATGATCCGCTGTTGTGGCTTTATAGAGGCACGGGGGAGGGGAAGGAGGGGGAAGGAGTTCGGCTGTAGGAGTTCACAGGGGAGAGGAGGGTAGGGTTTGTGGCGTGCAGGGACGGGTGGGGCTGGAGAAATTAGCAAGTAATTGGACTTGTAGTAATCGGACAACAAGACACACGGGTGGGTGAGTGAAAATCATAGCAGTTAAAACTTGACGCTATTTATCGCATCCTTCCAATGATTGCTCAATCTGAATCCATCTTTCTCGGTTAACGTTTTGTGTGTGTTTGTATATCTGGATGGCTTCATGAACAAATCTCTGAAGGTGGCCCGCGTGTTTGTCCTAATTTTAACACTTTCTGCAAGACGACGAGACCACTCATCCGACAGAAAAGAAAAGTGCTTGCATGCTGAAAACAAAGCGGCGGAGGCGGCGGCAGGGGGGGGTGTGGTAATTTCGCCTGGGACATTTCAGATGACCTAATCCTCCGTGGAGTTTTGACGGGCCAAAACACCCGGCAAACAAAAGAGTGCCGCGCAGTAATGACAACGGGTCGCTTTGATACGGATACGCGGCACTCTCTCTCCCTCTAGACAGGTTCTACTTAAAACAGAATGCTGCCCTCAACCACCCACCCCTACCCTGGCGAACTCGCAGTACTCACGCCACCCACGCTGGGCACAGACACACAGAGAGAGAGAGGGGGCCAAACTCGTTTTAACTCCCAAACGGAACCCCGTGCCTGAAAGTGTGCGTCAAGGCTCCGACCGCCACCCGCCCACCATCAGCTCCCCGCCCTGCGGACACGCACCGCGCTGTCGAAACCATTAATAACCTCTTCATTCATCCGCTTTGGAAACGAGAGTCCAAAACAGGCAAACACGTAAGTTCATTATTTGCTTAAATATTCTACTAGTGTTTTTGTTTTCGTTTTTGGGATTCAGTTCTTCTGTCGCAATGAGGACAACATAACACACACCGCATGCAATCACGACCCAGGGCTTGGTTCTATTTTCTCACAACAAACAATCGGAAAGAAACAAACACGAACCGATGATATTGTTACTTAAACTGAGGCGTGTATAGATATCTGGCCGCGATGTACCATGTTTTCCCGATTATAAAGATGCTCAATGGAAAGTGAAAATGCACTCAAAACTTGTTCCCGGTGTCAATTACATTAAAAAAAATTGAATCAGGTCACACACACACACAGCTACAGGATTGTAAGTAGCACCCTCCCACCACCATAATACAGGTTTTATTTTATAACACCGGGGTTAAACGTGCGTCTTATAATCCGGATACATTGCAATCCCAGCAATACACATCGCAGTGGAAACGGAGCAGTTTTGTTCACTTTTATTTAACTTAATGCCGCAGTACACTTAAGCAACCATAAACCACAACCACACGTGACACAATGTATGCCGGTAAACGTAACATTCTTAACCCTCGAATCCAGACATCCTCCTCCCCTCTTTGCATCCAATCGAAACGGTTGGATCCAGTATGATCCTCCGAATGCAAACAGTCGCTGTTCACCCCCCCCCCAAGGGAATCTGCCGTGAATAACTGAAAGCAAATGTACACAGCCGCGGGTTTAAAGTGCTCTAAAATAATAATAATAAAAAACATGACTGTGACGGAAGTTACACAATAATCTGTGAATACTCTAGCGTAAACCTACGAGCAACAATCTATTAGGCAGAGGTCATTGTACAAGCACCCAAAGCGCGATTTGACAGAGGCGGGAGTGGTTGGATAATAGTCGTCCCCGCGTGCATGCGTGCCAAGTCCATGCGTATAAACCACACCGTGGGGTTTAGGCGAACTTCGGTCAAACTTTGCCGATGCTTAACGTCGTTATTTGTGTACGTTTTTTTACTGGATGTATGCACCGATCACGTGACATGCTGGTAATCATCGCTTCTGCAACGCTTCACGTTAGCGCGGGGGGGGGGGAGAAGAGGGGCTGGCGCTACGAGATATCGACCGTTTGGAAGCCACCCCACACACACGCACAGGGGACGGCGGTTCACACTGAACACGAGGGGCATGCTTCTTGCACGGGGCCCCGCGGACGCACGGCAAGGAGATCGTCCCGGCACGGGTGCTGTGCCCCCAGGAACGAAAGATGCACCTAAACCGCGCAAGCACAAACGTGGCAGTCGCCCACCGCTGTCACCCCCACGTTTGTAGAAAAAGCTATGTACAGCCGTGGGGGGGGGGGGGGGGGGGCTTCAATCAGTGGCCAAACGCTGCGCAATGCCCCGGGTGGTATCGGTGCGCGCCTGCTGTCCCGTCATGTTACTTTAACCCGGTCAGCGAGAAACATTGAACATTGCGGTGCAAGCAGCTTTTGCGAATGTAGATGGGGACAGGATATGGCACTGCATTCGCCCTCGCCCGTTCTCCCTCGGCCCCCCCCCTTCCCCCATGTCGAGAAATGTGAAACGCCCAATAAGAGATGCGCCACGCACTCAATGGACCCGAGCGGATAAACCTGCCTCGGCCGCGTGGGAGCAGTCGCGTATCTGTAGAGGCGTTCGCTCAACGACGCCAACTCAAATGACAACACCTTTTGCACACCACCCCCACCCCCGATCAATGGCATTTGCGAATGTTTTCCAGCAGCCGCGATCTTACATAACCTGACAATGGGGCGGACTGCCAAGCACCAAGTACAGCGCAGAAACTCCTTCAATTTCGAGCCATTTGGAAAGGCGGCTGTTACGCAATTCGACAAAAACCAGCGCCGCGCTTCCTAATAGAACACACACCGAAAACCATGGGTCGCCGGGCTCCGTTGCATTCATCACGATCGGGGGATTATTCGCTGCTCCCTTTGGTAGCTGGTGTCCTTTAGCCATGACGTCGGCTTCAAACTCAACGTTTATCTCTGAGGGCCAATTATTATGGTTGGTTGGGAGGGGGGGGGAATTGTGATTTAAAGTTGGACTAAACAGCCTTGAAGAGCAGAACCGATTCTAACACTCTCAGTAAATGATGAGATTCTCATCAGAGAGAACAGCACATGCAGGTTTGAAACGAACAAGAGTAATAAAGCCGAGACATGGAATGGGCAACTTATAGGCAGATAAAGGTACGATTGTGATGTTGGATCGGACCAAACATCGTGCCTTGCGTGTCACTTGACATGCCCATAAATACCCCTCGAGGCAATGATGACCACACTGCACTGAAGATTGCTAGCAAGCGTTACACTGGTGCACAGCGAGGCTCTAAAATAATATGGCCACAATTTTGACTCGTTTCGAGTCGGTGGCCAAACACAAGGCTAGGTGCAAGCCTGCGTCACATGACATGCAAGGCATGGCAGGTCGGCCGATCCAATGGCCACAATCGTGCCTTTCGCAGACTGCACGTCACATTTTACGCGTGTCATTATCCTTGAGCGGAGTCCGAGAGACACGGGTCTCGGCATTTAACGGCTGCACGGCTCACCCCGGCTAAGGTCGCGGGCTGCCGAGGTCCACGGGGAGGCGTGGGTGGAGACGCGGGGAAACAGACGTCTTAGGGTTTGAGGCGGCTGTACGAGACCGCCCGTCACGTGAGCGCCCATCATTGGCAAAGGTGGCGCAAAAAGGATTCCATTCCCGAATGTGCCGCTTTTCCTGTGTGGCATTTGTATGTTCTACCCCTGTTCTCCATGGGATTCCTCCGGGTTCTCTGGTTTCCTCCCAAAGCTAAAGACGCACACAAAGTCATTGGTGTTGGCCACTCATCCCAATGTCGTGGGACCCTCCTGAAAGTCTTCGGACTCCGTTTGACCGCCACTGCTCCCCCCCCCCCCCTCAAGAGTGGGAGAGGTGTCAGGCCACCCCGCATACAAACCTCACCCTGTGCCGAAATCCCCATTATATTTCCACAATAAAGGTTTTTTTTGGGTAGCTCTAACTCAAACAACCTCTGCTATGGATATTGGTCGTGAAAGCCACACGTATGTCTTTCTCCATTTTCATCCCAGTTGTGCCATCGGCCGCACGTCACACGAGACGAAGCGGCCATTATTTGAAAACGTCGCCGAATAGAGCGACGACCCCCACCCCCGCTCACTTGAAGAGAGCGGCCCGTGGAAGCGGACATCACGGAGCGAACTCGAAAAGATCCCTTTCGAGCAACTGAGAGGGACGTCCATCAAACCGATATACAGTAAAACCTTGGATTGCGAGCATAATTCGTTCCGGAAACGTGTTTGTAATCCAAAGCACTCGTATATCAGTTGTGATCACGTGACGCTCGGCAGACAAAGCGTATACGTACTACTCGTATTGCAAGACCTCGCTCGTTTATCAAATTAATTATTTAAAAAAAATTCTCGTCTTGCAAAACACTCGCAGACCAAGTTACTCGCAATCCAAGGTTTTATGGTATTTTTTTAATTCTCAAGAGGTAGAATGGAGCCGAAACTTAGCGCAAAACCAAATTTAATGCGACGGGTATGTGTGCAGTCGTTGGCCGAGGGCATCATCTCGTTACGGACAGCCGCCTGCATTAGAATCCATAATCTCAGCGGTGCCAGCTCAGCGTTCTGATCTCCATAGCCACCCGGCCAACGTCCCTCGCCGTGGCCCTGGCATAGCCATGGCATGCTGACTGCCACATCTGGCGCTCTATCTGGCCGTGCCGTGAGTTGGGCACTGGTCGCCAGGCTCCGCAGAAAGCTCCGGCGCCTTCTGTTGCTCCCAGATGGCAAGAGCGCGAGTTTGTTCCTCCGCAACGGTGCGCAGCCCAATGTCTCGCTCATCCCGGCAATGCCTGCACGCCGACGGCCCAAGTCACCCACAGTGCACTTGATCTCGTCACATCTTGGAAGCTAAGCGGGGGTTCAACTTTGATAGCGATTGGATGGGCGACCACCACGCTTGAAACCGGGCGTTGCAGGCCGCTACGGGGCTACATTGTCAGAGGGCAGTGCACCAACATTCACTGTTGCACTGTACCATGCTCCAAACGTACGTGCTCCTCGCCTTCGTCAACCCGCACTGACCAGGGTGAAGTGTGGTCAGAAACCCCCATGACCCGCACGGCATTGGGAGGCCCTCATCCAGCAGTGGACTGATAATAGGGCCGCACATGCATGGGCGTATTCATAACTTGACGTGTTCAGCGTCATATCCTGCACTGCAAAAGACTGCGATGCTGGGATTTAAAATGCGCACAAGGGGGCTATCGGTCCACTATAACGCTGAGAAGTGCCAGCTTATTTAAAAATTCAACTCCATGCACAAACTTTACCGCGAGCAAAGTGGAAAATGAGAAAGTTTTAACAGTAAAATGGGGAGGGGGGGGGGGGAGGGAAGCACAGATTACCATGAAGTTTAAAGTTTTTAAAACAGTTTTCAATAAACGAACGCTTTTAAAATACAGGAAGCAATTGAATAATATCTCGCGGTATCTGAAGTTTAAAGTAATATGCAACTATTTCAGAAAGTATGTCACTTCTAAAAAAAACCTTTACCTGTGCAAAGCATCCTATTTTAGTATGTTAATTTGCTTAACGGGCTCTTGTAGCTCGCGCCGTCGAACACGAAAGACGGAAGAGGCGCGTTCGCCACGTACAATAGCCGGGTGATGCATGCGGTTGAAACGCGTTGAACGGGACTAGAAAATCGGGGCAACTTAAAAGCTACGAGCGAACAAAAAGAAAAAAAGGCGACTGCGAGGAAAGCAAAACTCGACAGCGACTGAATACGAAGCAGATCGTAAATAAACTCCACTGCTGCGGAGGAGAGAGAGGGAAAAAAACCACAAACGCAATTAGCTATCGCTGGTGAAAGAATGCTACGCATTTTTTTTTTGTTTATACCCAGCAACAAGTGGAAGGCGGTAAAGGCAAAACAATGTTCTTGCACAGGTGCAGCCTATGTAGTTTAGTGAACTTAAAACACAAAAGCTTCTGGGCGCCTCTCAACGACCGTTGGAAACGAGACGAGACGCGGTCGTCCCCACGGGGCGGGCGGCTCGCTGTCGCGGTAGTCACCGACAGCGCTGCTGGTCATATAGTAACGCCATTGCCGAAACGAGCCTAGGGAACGTTTTTTTTTTTTAAATGCCTCAGTTTGCGGTTTCCACCGTTTTAGTCACGGGAACACGATGACAACTTGGTGGGATCGAAACCTCCTTTGATAAACCTTCAGCGGGGGAACTGCGTGGGTACAGGCGAGGGGAAAAGCGTGGCTGCCCGTTTGGGCCAATTAAACGCGGCGCCAATCGCATTTCGGGCAGCATCACGACTCCCCGTTTCCAACGCGCACGGCTGGTTTGTAAAGTGCCAATTTACATATTTCCCGTGTTGTAAAAATGTACTCGCGCTTGCAATTCGTTGCAAATTCGTGCTTTTGCCACATTGTACACGCGTCCCTATCACGGTGTCGGAGTTATTATCCAAAGTAACACATGCAGAGAACTCCCGTGGTGTCGTTTCGTAAACCAGGAAAGTTCCCCAGTTGTGTCATTCAAAATTTTTACGGGGGGTGGAATCACGATGGAGAAAAGCGGCTGTATGCCCGGCTGGTGTTCAGGCCTCCGTGGAGAGAATCTTGCCTAGGATCGCAAACAAGTGGCCCCGTATTCCCACGGCTTGAGGCTAAAGAGGTCCACGAAATGTCAACAAAAGGCTCCTGAAAAATCGGCCTTAACTGTCAAGTCGTTTGCAGCGGGTGGCACCCTCGAAACAAGAAAACCCGCTGGGGCAGCCAAGTCAAGATGGCACTACCACCGCAAGTTTAAAAAATAAAAACATTATAATTAAATTACATAGCTGCCAACTTAGGATATTCAAAAGGGGAGCTAAGCATGCTCCGGTTTTGTGCCTTTAAAAAAACACAAGAGCATGCCATGATATTGCCCTAATTCCTTACAGCGCAGAAAACGAAGCAGGTGTTCGTCAGGAAGGGGAACGAACAAGAGGGCATAATTAGCAGTGGTATGCACGCGCAAACCATGAGAAGGGTGACATCTTAGGCTTCATATTAACATCCGACATTACGACCGGACGCAATTCCAAGGTAATTGTCAGGTTTGCCATCCCGTTTCGCTCCAAAGCAGAGCACGGTCAAGAAGAAAAACTGGTAGGCGTGAACGGAGAAGCGTACAACGCTCCATCAAATCAGAACATTGGCAGCTATGAAATTAAACAAAATGCGAGGTTCGAAGTGGGGCAGGTTGGCGAGATGACGGATGGGGTGGGGGAGAGGGATGGAGGGAAATAAAGAGGCGGCGATTAGTCGGGGGTCGTGGCGAGAGTCGTAAGGACGCACACGGCGGCGAGGTCCGGGCGCGGCCGTGTTGAGAAGTCGTCGGCGGAGGGTCGGATCGGCTCAGAAGCCGAAGGTCTCCTGCGAGGCGTAGACCATGTAGAGGAAGCCGTCGTCGTCACGCTCCTGCTCGTACACCTCGCAGATGGGCGCCGCCACGCTCACCATGCTGCGCTGGTTCACCAGCAGAAAGAACGCCTGGTTGGGGTTCAGCTGCAGTCGGCGCCTGCGACACAGAACGCGACGACGGGAGAGCGATCGACGTTACAGCTGCAGCGGTGGCTTACGCGGCAAATTGTTTCCCTACCGATGGTAAATCGTGAAATTCTGGAGGTGCGGCCCTCCGATAATCACTTGATCACGCCACTGCTGGTGGACAGGCCTCTACGACGGGGAGCTCAGGAGAACCCTCATGGTAGAGGGTAATTTGGCCTACTCTTCCACACTGGCCAGACGCCTTGGAAGAGGCGTGAGTACCCACTCTGTACCCCACCACGTGCGACCTACCGATCGACTAACCGTGGTGTACCCAATGATGTTACTGGGCGCACAGACAGAGCGGGGCGACATAACAAACGTGCCCATTATTTCTCAACTGCCGTGCCGGAGGATCGAACCGGTGACCTATGAAATGCAAGTCCAGTGGGCTCAACATTACGAGGGCGGAATATCCCCCTTACTAAGAGTGCCAAACTCGGGAAAACGTTTCCCGGACTCTGTTGAAAATTCAATTTGAAACACCCCCATTCCTGAATGCTTATGCGTAGCTGCGTTGTGTTCAATACGGCATTGAGCAATTCACACATTTAATGTCACAATTATTACAGCTATGTGCAACGTCGTTCGAAAACATCCGCTCAGGTATGCCTCTGAATAAGCAGAACCATAACAATGACGTGAACCATAACGACGATAGCATGCACCAGATGGACGGAAGGGCACCGAGGTCACATGACGATGGTGACTATCCACAACAGCGCTGGTGAATTTCTATAACGGTTCGAAATGCCGCAGGTGCCACTGCATTTAGCCTTCTCGTCAGATGTAGACACGCTCTCGTTGCATAAAAAAAAGAGGTGGTTTTACCCCTCGCTCCATGCGGGTTCGCTCTGTGCGATTTGGCGCACATACGGCTAGCCTCTTTCTACCCTAAATTCACTCGACTGCGGTTTGAATTAACTCGTGTGCAGCCATGCGGTTGGATGTGGGAGAACGCAGTGTGTGCTGTACACGCTACTCGGCAGGCAACCGTCGCGTGCCGTTTCGCCTTGCGCGCACTTTTTTCGGAAAGCATTTACTGCCGCATAAAGCGAGGGAACCCTGTAGTGTAAACAGATTAAGAAAAAGAAGTGGTCAAAACGTGGGGCACATTATTATGCTTCATACTTAAAAAGGCATGATTATCACTAAAAATGTTCTCACTTTAACATCATGCTAATCTCTCACATTATCATAGCTACTTCCGTGCCTAGTTACATGCTAATTTCTCACTTTAACATCATGCTAATCTCTCACATTAACATAGCTACTTCCGTACCCAGTTACATGCTAATTTATCACTTTAACATCATGCTAATCTCTCACATTATCATAGCTACTTCCGTACCCAGTTACATGCTAATTTCTCACATTAACATCACTAGACCCAGCCACTCCTTTATAATGACCCTTGGGCTACACCCATTTCAAACCTTTAAAACAGTCTGCATCAGCAGCAGGCCACGCTTTCCCACCTGATGACGGACGCTTGTGTTGCGCCCGAAACGTCGTGATTTATTTTATTTTATACCTACGTGACTTTACCGAAAGAACCAAAGAGTATGGATTCCTGCAGTCACGAAAGCTTAAAATCAAGATTATCACTAAAAAGGCAAAACGCAGAGTAAACACAAGCGCACCAACCACTACGGGCAAACCTATACCGAGTGCAGATTCATCTGAACTAGGGAAGGTGGGAAAGTTTTAACACTTGCAGAATGTATGCGGATACTCTACGAATGCAAAACATAAAACCCATTTAACAAGGTGACCACACACAAACCCGCCCCGCTGGTCAGCATGGTGAAGTATGGTCAAAGTTCCATCGTGACTGACATGGGGAGGTTTTCATCCAGCAGTGGATTGATGAAGGGGGCTCCAAGTAAAGCTTGTGTCTGACTGTATAACGAATCATAATAGGACATCACCACTAGAGGGCAGAATTAGTTGTTTTTACCGTTTTAAATCTCTGACAAAGGCATTCGAATCGGTCACGTACATTCTAATGATGTACTAGATCAGTGGATTTTCACCTGGGGTGCACGCACCCCCTGGGGGTACAAGATGCCTTTTCTGGGGGTAGCAAAACATGGGCAGATTTTTTTTTAGAAGGTAAATCATCGAAACATAAATTAAGCACGGACACGTAAGTACAACTTACTTTATGAGACCTCCTTTGCCAGTAACAAGATATAGGAATAGGTTTTACCCTTTTAACTGGCACAAAAACTGACACCTTTATTCAAGGCATCATGTTTGCAATAAACACAACACATGCAGTCAAAATGCAAACAAAAAAGACAACTCTGATAATAATAGCCGTCTCGGGTGTGGACCAATCAAATTCAAGGACAGTGCATATTATTATCAGAGTTGTCTTTTTTGTTTGCATTTTGTCTGCTTGTGTTGTGGTTATTGCAAACATGCCTTGAATAAAGTTGTCAGTTTTTGTGACAGTTACAAGGGTAAAACCTATTCCTACAACTTACTTTGTTTCATCAAACCCTATGTATTGATTGACATTATACATTTTTTTTGTTACGATTAAGAACCCAAGAAAGTGCAAGGCTGCAGTAAAAGTTATGAACCGCTGTTCTAGACGAGCAAAAACAACTAATACTTTAGCACAATTGGTAGCTCTGTCTATTGCCTAGAACTAAAAGAACCCAAAAAGTACTCAAGCACTCCAAACTCAGGGATAACAAACATTATCAACTTAAAAAAAATGTTTAACCTAGGCATATAAAAAATGGTATCTGGAGGTTTTAAAGGGTGCTGAATACAAATATTCTATTATTTAATCATAAGTTTGACACTAATGATGATTTTTTTTTTAAACTAACTATAATCCCACTGCTGATTAACTCGTAAAACATGAGTATAGTGACTCGCAAAACTGTTATGTATTTATTTCAAAATAGTAATAACTGAGAAAAACACCTTATGAACGTATAGAAAGAGCCAAAATCAACGTTAAAATGGGGACCAGCCTCTCAACGATGTGATATTTAAAAAAGAGAAAATGTATACAAAACAAGAAGCCCTGCCAAGATCTTCTTTGGTTCTTTCGGTAAAGTCACGTAGAATGAGAATAAAATAATAAATTCATAAAATAAAATAACACAATAATATTCTCACGACGTTTCGGCCACAACACAAGCGGCCTTCATCAGGTGAAGGGACGAGACTGTCTGGTAGGACAGCGCTGGAGTGAAAGAGCCACGTTCAGATCACGACCTTTAAGCTTAGAGTCGCGGCAGCTTAAAGGTCGTGATCTGAACGTGGCTCTTTCACTCCAGCGCTGTCCTACCAGACAGTCTCGTCCCTTCACCTGATGAAGGCCGCTTGTGTTGTGGCCGAAACGTTGTGAGAATATTACTGTGTTATTTTATTTTATCAATTTATTATTTTATTCTCATTCTACGTGACTTTACCGAAAGAACCAAAGAAGATGAATCATTGCAGTTACGAAAGCTTTAAATCGAAACCCTGCCAAGATGTCACGTAAAACTTCCTAAATTAAGCAAGTCAACACATGACAGACATTACTTAAAAAAATTGCAAGCAATTAATCAACTGCTGGATAAAGATCTCCCCACATCATATCAGCCATGGGGGTTGTTTGACCATATTTCACCACCCCCCTGCTCAGTGCAGGTCAGTGAAGGGGCAGGAGGCAACATCTCGAACATAGATCCCTGGGGTCATAGCGCAGTGCGCAAACCACCGCTACACGGAACCACCCACCCACCCGTACCTTACGCCCGCAGGCAACACGCACAGCGATCAATTAAACACTCGCGGAAGTGGAAATAGAATGAAGAGGCGAGCCACACAGGATGGACACCCGTTCACGACGAGACCCTCCTCCCCAACCATGGCTAGCACTGTAAAGCCGAGGGGGTCTGGGTGTGTCCTGCACTACGGCAGGTGGTAACCATCACGGACTGCACAGTAAACCTTTCCTAAACCACCGGCATGCGCAGGATGGGGGTAGAGAGTACGCCCTAAACCACAGCCGAGTGCAAATCACTACCAACACCTCTGCTATGTGTGTCATGCATCCAATTTAGTTTTTACCGCTTTCCAACAGTTGCTGGAAGCTTTCATGTCTGTATATAATGGTGGGTGGGGGAGGGAGTTAGGATAATTTTCGTAACGATTCAATTCCAATAATGAAATGAAAATTTGAACTTAGTGACAAAAATCAACGCTAAAAGGATTTTGCCGTGCTGGCCTTAGGTGCTGTTGAGATGCTCGTCGCATGGCAATCAAACTAAATGTGTAATTGTCACGGTGGAAAATATTGCCAACTTTTGTGAAGATCAAGATGAACGACTATGGTTGTGCAGTCATCGGAGCCGATAACATCAGCTCAATGCAAGTGAGAACTTGTTCCAATCACTGTGGGTTGGCTGCCCGGGTTCAAACCCAGATCTCGGCGGTGCTGGCTCACTAGTCCACTTTTTTGGGTTTTTTTTACAGTTGTCCAAGCATAGACACGACAGTTGGAAAAAAAACTGCAGCTTGGCTCTGTTGGAGAGATCAACGACAGAACTGATAAGTAGCAAGATTTTGTATCATGCGGTGTAAAAGTTAACGAGCCGAATTCCAAACAAATGTCGTTGGTAATGAACGAATGGTTAGTTCAAATGCAAATGCTGACATAAGAATGTGTTTATCCAATTGTATCGCTCCACTGCTGCGAGAAAGCGTGCCTACTATGCCGTGTTACTCTCGGTGATTGTTTGACCAAACTTTGCCAAACTGGTCGGTGTGAGTTGGTAAAGTGGGTGCCCAGGACCAGTCTCATATCTCTCGCCATTCATGTTAAAATCAAGTACATTTTTTTATTTTATTTTACCAGGTAAGGTCCACTGAGCTGTCTAACTCGTTGTCAGAAGTGACCTGGCCATCAATGATAGCTCAATGAAGTGGTCTATTACACGGAAATTGATAGCAGCCAAATACTCTAAACGTGCGTTGATTCTAAATGTGGAGGGAAAAACTGGAGGACCCGGAGAAAAATCCAGAGGACCACGGGGAGAGATACGTGCAAACTCCAAATATACAAGCACCAGGGTCGGGATCGAACCCACAACATCCTGTACACCAGACGAGGGAGTGAACATCTCGTCACCGCGGCGCCAAGTACAAAGCCTAGAGCTCGTAACACACCACACAAACATTACGAAAAGTCAATTATATTATGAACAATTGTTGAAAGTATGAAAAGTATTATGATGTATATTTTACATGTTGACACTTGAATTTATGCCGAGTGCAAAACCGCATGAGGACTCCATAGCTGTACAAACAAATCCGATAGCATGAATTCTGGGACACAAACATCGTGCAATTGGCACCATTGTGCAATCTTTGAAGCTACTTGGCCAGAACAGAATGTCCACGTAGCAATCAATCCGTCCTCTCGGACACACCTTCAGAAAAATTACTTCCAACACAACACTTCTTTGAGAGGGCAGCATTGAGAGTGGATAAGCATCCGCGTTTAGCAACACATTTTATAAATAGCCACAGCCCCGGCAGCCTTGCGAGTTAAGAGGGGGGGGGAAATTGCCATCGAAGAGGCAACAAGTTAAAATTTAACCCAATTATGAGCGCCAAAATTTCGGAGGACAAAAAATACACAAACAACGAGCCAGACTGTGTGCCCTAAAGCGTTGCCGCGACCACAAAAGGACATCATTCATCAGCGGCGGCGAGAAGCGAGAAGCCTGGAGACTGGAGTGCTGTCAACATTCGCGAAACATAAAACATGCGGTATAATTAGAAAGGGATCTCACGTGAGCTATCGCTGTACAAGCCGCTCTTGTTCCCGCGCATGCCCTGTCCGATGCGTGATTACGGTTGGGTTCTTAGGGGCCCCCGGGTTTGTAATTGACCTTTACTGGGGGAACTTGGCACTAAATAATTGACCAGAGTCGCAAAGTACGGTCAAACAAGGCATCTGTACCCCTCACGCAGAGGCCTAATCAAGTACCAATCTCTTAAAAGTTATATATCGGAACATGCTCGCAAATGCACACGTGCTCTGAATGGAAGCTTGAGCAATTTCTCTCTTACATTTTAATGCTTTCTTCTCTCCCTTAGATGATGGGATAAAAGGAAAAAAAACTCCCTTTTCACAAGAGTAGGACAAACTGCTGCTGACAACGCCCCTAACCCGACCCCAGCGGATGACTAATGCACATTAGGAGTGCGGCTGCCACACTATCATGAATAGCCTCTTAAGATACGGACAAAAATGTTCAATACCACAGTCGCATAATACACATTGTTCTTTCGACTACAGCACTGCAAACCGAACATGACAAAGTAAAAATGAGAACTCATAGAAACCTAGGCATTACAATTTCTATCAGACTCAAATAATGGCCCAGGGATGGTGCAGCCTTGCCGCTGTAATTCGCTCACTGCGCTTTGAACCTGGCAAGGCGAGTTTGAATACTACCCAAAGCTAACGTCCGTAGTGAGTGAACCTGAACCGGTCCTAGCCTCCAGCTTATCCCACCCACAATAACTAATGTCAAGTCAAACAACCCCACCGCCCCGCCCCCCTCTCTCACCGTGACGACACAGCATGGGGTGGCCTTCATCCAGCAGTGGCTTGACAAAGGGCTGTATGTTCAGTACCATTACATTAATATATTCTCACTAGACATTTAAACGTTGCCCACATCAGTGGTTGATAACTTTGCGAACCGTGGTGTATGCTATCAGCCCATAGGAGCCGGTAGGAGCGGCCGACGGGCACACAACGAGTCACCCTTTACCGTATAATCTTGACAAGCTCGCTCATGTTGACATGGTCCGGCACCAGAAACTTGGTTTTGTCCAGCATTGGCAGCTGCTTCTCTCCGCGGTATCGCTCAATGATAACCTGCGTTCACAAACATCGTTATCATCATCATCATCAGCAGTCTCGAATCCAGCTCTCTGTTTTCAACTGGGTCAGTTGATAAATAACATCCCTCCATGCATTCCTATGTTATGTCTGTCTCAATCATTCTCTAGTACTGTTTTCTCTCTTTCCAACGCCTCTAGAACACAACTGTTCCCCCTACTTCTCCCTTGATTTGCCTCTAAAATATTATTTTGTCGGCTTGTAACTCAGTTTACTCCGAGCACAGGCGGTCGGAGGGGAATGAGGTGAGGGGGTTCGTGCTTAGAAAATGGGGTGAGAGCGGGGGGGGGGGGGGGGGGGGGGGTAGATGAGGCGGCTGAGCAGGTCGGGTTGGTTGCGTGTGCTGTCGGTACAACGCTGACAACGTCGCACGACAGCCAAGGCCACGTGTAAGCTCGCCCAGGGGCTAAAATAACCGCGGCTCACGAGGGGGCAACACACAACACCTGTTGTGGGTACACCGTGATGTTCAACGTATGGCCAGCGTCTCTTTGAGAGCAGATGCACTGTATATTTTTAAGATTCCCAGCTGCCATAACTAATGTACACATCGATTACCCACCAAATGTATAGCGGACTGCCAAGTCTACTGACGGGCAGATAGCCGGCTAATAATGGCGCATCGATTACCGAGGAGTAACGATTCTAAAGTTCACGATATATACGTTTAATTGTTTGGGCATCATTTGCTAACATTTGATCACATTTTGTACAGTGTTCTCCATTATACTTGCCTGATGTTTTTATTTTCATTTCCAGAACATGCAATATATTCCCATGTATATTTGTACGTATGCTGAACTTCGTTCGCAACGTACGTAGCCAACCGTGCTAATCGGAGGTTCGGGTAATAATTTAATTAAAAATTACATTATTATTAATACGTTCAGTCGAGATTTGTTAAATTTAAAATGTTAATAAAATACGCATACTTAATATCACTTAACAAGACCTAGGCCGCCGTTGGGAAACAGAAGCATTGTTACGTAGCCTCAATGGGAGTATTTCATCCACTGGTTAAAAAAAGGATATAGACTGAACCACTCAGTCTTGCCTTCTGTTAGCAGGCTGGCTATTATTTCACTGCTCCCCACTCAATGACTCAAGTGATCAATTATTTGAAAAGCCTACGTCTTGACCCCCCACTCTACCTTCGCAAGCAAATACATCCTTAAAGCCTCATTTGCATGTTTTGTATTTTCCTGTTTTATCCGAACCACGCCTCTACCCACAATTACCCTGGATGAGTTGACTATTAATAGTCCATAACCATAGATGGTATTTTGGGAAGTCAGCGGCTTTTGTCTAGTCATCTAACAAAAACGGCGGTCACCGCACCGCGTGACGCTTTAAAACGCGCTTTTGCGGCCGTCTGGAACGCTCCTCCTTCCGATGTTAGGAAGCCACTGGAGCTACATGGACATTTAAATAATCTCGATTGAAAACTCATTTCTTTAAAACTACTTTGTGTTTTAGTTTGTCATCCTTCTCCCGCACCTCCGATTAGCACGGATGTCCACGTAACATAGATTTGTATACAATGGCCTTGTCTTAACCACGAATTCCTAAAGGTTCATTGTATTTTACTGCTAGAGTTATACTCTGGCGATTCACAATCTGTAACGAAGCCAACGCATTCAAAAGGTCCCAGTTGGGTACAATGGGTCAAAGTGCAAAACAAGTATTCTCAAATATAGCACATGGCTTCCAAAAAATATCTGATCTTCACTCCTCGCAGCAGTCAATATATTCAAATGCCCCTAATTGTTGTAAATTGAGCCGCATTTACAAATCGACCAACCAAAATCAACTTGACAATTCGCCCCCATTGTTGGCAATAAAGACAAAGGTACACCCCGTAAAAAGAAACGTTTAAACTGACCAAAATCTTAATCGGACACGGATATGTTTTACTGCTCACACTTACTTAGTAAGACTGCCACTGTTCAGATCTGGGTTCAAGACCTCCCCTCCGCTTTTCCTCGTCTGCCTATTATTAGTGACCGTCCGTGTCTTTCTACAGAATAACATTCTGTACGGCGTTTTAATTGAGACAGCACTTAGACGCTACATACATCCACTGTGCATTGTATAATCAGCTAAATCTGGGGCGCAAGGGTTTTGAGTTTTAAATCTCCTGGCTTAATTTGAACGAGGACGCCCCGAGCGCGAACGATTGTCGCGTTGCGTGCCGCCACCGCCGCACTTGCCGGGATTTTGTTGGGGTGCTGAGAGCGGATCAGCTCCACGTCCTTCACCCTCTCGGCTGCTCGGGAAGAGAGACACGGAGAGGGGGCGGGCGGGCAGGGGGGGGGGAGCGAGAAGCACATAGGAAAAGGCGAGCGATAAATGACTCTCATTAGTACGAAGACATAAACGAACAAGGGCACCCGCACAAGAGAGAGAGAGACTGCTGCACTTAGCGCGTGAACGAATTGAATCCCCGACAGATTACACTGGGCTGGCCTTCAACGTCTGTGCTCGCTTGTTATGCAATTATGCCTCCTCGATTTAGAACAATGCTTTTTTTTTCTTCTGGCTGCAATAGCTGCAGCAGCATTAAACATCTGTCGTGAAATAAAGTCGAATTAAGTTTAGAGTCTCCCCTGGCGAATGGGGTGGGAGCTCGTCTCTACTACTAAACTCTTGAGGCTTATGGTGGAAATTCCACATTATCATGGCCGCGGCCAGCGTCTCTCCGACTAAACGCCGACTTGTTGACTTCGCTTAAAGTTGTACTTATTTGACTGACCCTGTAAGGATGGGTAGGCCGAGTGAAATCTACTCCGGGGGGGGGTGGGAGTTGTTAACTTTAGACACAAGCGATAACACGGGTAAACATATAAACACTTGGCGGATACAAAGGAACTGGTGCTTAGGCCATCGTTTGGGTTCCAACCGCGGCGCTCTCGACAAACCATAACAATAACAGCGGGATGACGTCATCACCTTTTTTAAAAAAAACCCATCACCAACCTCCCCTAACAGCCGGTACGACGTCGCTTTGTAAAAAAAAAACTGCAGCAGGATGTCTCTCACGTTCGATCTGGGCATTTGCTAAAACCTCGACTTTGTCGACTACTTACTTTACCTTCGCCGATGTGAAACGTCTCGACACAACCCACACCACCACCATCGTCGTCGTCGTCATGTGGGGTGGGGGGGTCAGTATAATTTAGCACACGACCCGGTTAGCGCCCGACAGTAAAATGTCATGGGAAGCCAGCAGCAGCTGCAGCTGCTGTTGTTGTTTACGGCGACCAGCCGGTAACGTGCCATCGGAACGCCACATTTCCATCGCCACTGGATGATGTGCAGCCCACCCACCTTACCATCAACAACAAACCGTGTTTACAACTATGTTTACAACTATGTTACACAACAACTGCCCGACCATACTGCTCGTGGCACAGCTTCACGACGTCAACTTTATTGTCGCCCGCACTGTCGCCTCTTATCTACTGCTGGATGAAGGTCAATCCATGACTATCACAGTAACTGTGTCTATCCACTGCTGGATAGAAGCCAGTAATTGTCATAATCTACCCACCTCTGGGTCAAGCCTCCCACGCCATCGCTCACTTTGTCGACTTTTAGGAAATATTTAAAGTCTAAAGCGATGTCGCCAAATGAAATACGACTGCGATCTTTGCCGCTGTTGTTGATGGGGGGTGGGACTTCGTGGAACAGTGGATAGACCATTGATAAGATGACGAACGTGGTCTTCCATCCACAGCAGTGTGTACACAAAGGCCGAGAAGATGACACACAAAGGCCGAGGGGATAACACACAGGCCGAGAAGACGACGTTATATAGCCTCTGTCAAGTAGTGGCGGACAAGACTAGGAAGGCTGACGATCGGTGCGATGAATACGTTTGTGAGATGACTACGTTTGTGAGAGGATTACGTTTGTGAGGGGATTACGTTTGTGAGTTGACTACGTTTGTGAGTTGACTACGTTTGTGAGAGGATTACGTTTCTGAGGGGATTACGTTTGTGAGTTGACTACGTTTGTGAGATGACTACGTTTGTGAGATGACTACGTTTGTGAGATGACTACGTTTGTGAGATGACTACGTTTGTAAGATGACTACGTTTGTGAGAGGATTACGTTTCTGAGGGGATTACGTTTGTGAGTTGACTACGTTTGTGAGATGACTACGTTTGTGAGTTGACTACGTTTGTGAGATGACTACGTTTGTGAGATGACTACGTTTGTGAGATGACTACGTTTATGAGAGGATTACGTTTCTGAGGGGATTACGTTTGTGAGGGGACTACGTTTGTGAGATGACTACGTTTTGATTAAAGCTTTCGTGACTGCAGGGATTCATATTCTTGGTTCTTTCGGTAACGTCACGTATAAGGGAAACAATAAAATAATAAAAAAGTTAATATTTGTTTTTACCGAAAGAACCAAGAATGACTACGTTTGTGAGATGACTACGTTTGTTTGTGAAATGACTACGATCGTCGTGGTCGACGGTGTTGGCCTCTTGTCAAAACGGAGCCAATAATTACCGCTGTAAAATAAACCTCGTGAGGACAAATCACGGGGCGAGAACGTCCGATGGAAACGAGGCACGACAAAATGCTGACGATGATCGTCATCAAGATGCAATGGATCACGCCGACGATGTTTTGAGAGTCGCACAAACGCGGCCGTGAACGCCGTTCCGACTCAAAGGGCCCCCCCGTAACGGTGACCACACAAAGCGGCTGCCATTTCTACCCCCATCATCATCATCTTCATCGCCTCCCCACCCCTCCAACAACACCGCGGTTTCAAACTTGGCCAGCATTTATGGTTGTTTTTTTTTACTTCACCGCTCACAACAACAAAACCCGACTGATTCCTCGAACACCTATCCGTTACGTTATAAAAAAACACACAACACACATACATACACAATACGAATGGCTATTACGATAAACGCGAGATTTAAATCGCTGCGAGAGAGGCCTTTGCCGAGGCCCTGCGAAACAAAAAGCCTCGGGGTCGCCCGCCGCGGCTACCCGCCGCGGCTGCCCGCCGCCCGCCGCCCGTCGCCGCCGCGCTCACTGAAACTCCGCCGCTGCTTGAAGGACTTTTCCGACGGCATCGCTCTTGGGCCTCCTCGCGGCTTTAAACTCGTCCCCTTTTGTTTAAGATTAATAACTTTGAAGAAGTCGCTCGGGAAACTACAAGGGCGGAAAATAAACGGGTGGAAAGTAAAGCGCTGTATAGATATATGTTTTAAAAAAACTACACGCACAATGTGTAATAAAAAAATAAAGAAAAGGAGTCGACACGAGAGCGAAGGCGACGCGGAGCAGCAACAACAACAGAACCCTCTCGCCTCTGGCTCGTAGGGCAGATTGTAAACACTGGCGCGTCATGCCCTGACGTCACCACGCGTGGCTACGCGGTGACGTACGGTGACGTCACCATGCACGAGTACGCGGCGATGCCCCCACGCGGTGACGTCACCGCGCACGGCTACACAATGACGTCACCGCGCACAGCTACGCGGTGACGCGTGGGTACGCGAAGAAAGGCGCGCGTCATTGCGCCGCGGTGCGTGATTGCGTCGGTTTTGACATTCGAGGAGAGCGTCAACGTGCAAATACGTCACTACGCGGCAACGCGCAATGACGTTGGTTCGCCACACGTTAACAAGAGGACTCCAACGCGTGATGATGTCGTCACGCACGGCTACACGATTACGTGCTATACGTGAAATGGGATTTCACGCCCGAAGACGTCATTACGCCGAAGTACGTGGTGACGTACGATTAGGAAAGGAAGCTTCAATCGCGCGCTTGCGTCATCACGCATGCCAGCGCGATGACGCATCGCGGCGTGGTGACCTCATAGCTTTAGGTAGACGTCAACACGTAGGGCAATGCGATGACGTCATTACTAAATTAGCGATGTGAACGTTTCACGAGCACTGCGACATAATGACGTAAAAACTAGCACAACCAAGCGGTCGATCGATAATTGTAGGACGTCGTTGCGACTTGTTTGCGTCATCACGCACGATTACGTAATGACGCACCTACACGTAAATGCTGTTGAAAGTCGACTTTCGCGGTGACGCCCCCGTGCTGGTGACGTCATCACGCCGTGGCGGGATTTTTCAGAATTGGTGGAAACGGCAGTAGCGGACGAACGCGATTGCTGCGTTCGCTCAGACAACAACGGGCTTATTTTAAACGAATTAAAATAAAGGAAATGCTCCAGAAGACAAGTTGAGGACAGTATGCTGCAAGTTATGTAAATTATTTTAAGGACGCTGAGGGAGATCGTGAGGTAAATTGTTTTACTGGGCTTGAATGTGGTTTCAAGGCCTTGCGAGATTTCAAAAAAATATTCACACATATACAGTATTTACGTTTCTTAAGTACCTGATGTACATCAAATATATAACAGTTTTATATATGCACATATATAAAGTGTGTCTCGGCCTATTGGCTTTCCAAATCGCCACAGTGGCTATGAGATGTTAACTCCCTCGACTGGTATACAGGAGGTCGTGGATTCGATCCCGACCCTGACGATGCCTGCTGCTGTATATTTGCAGTTTTCGTGTCTCTCATCATCATCACTGTGGCTAGGAGATGTTAACTACCTACCTCGCCTGGTATACAGGAGGTCGTGGGTTCGATCCCAACCCTGACGCCTGCTGTATATTTGGAGTTTGCGTGTCTCTCATCATCATCACGGTGGCTATGAGATGTTAACTACCTCGCCTGGTTTACAGGAGGTCGTGGGTTCGATCCCGACCCTGACGATGCCTGCTGCTGCTGTATATTTGCAGTTTGCGTTGTCTCTCTCTCTCTCCCCGTGGTCGCGTGGATTTTTCTCCAGGTGTCGTCCCTTTTTCCCCTCCACATTGAGAATCGACATGCGTTTAGAATATTTGGCTGCTATAGATTCCCACGCGATAAGACACTTTTGTTGAGCTTTCATTTGTGGCCAGGTCGCTTCTGAAAAAGAGCTGCATAGGTCAGTGGGCCTTATTCTTTGGTTCTTTCGTTAAATTCACGTAGATAGAAAATGTATAATTAAAGTGAATAAAAATAAACATTAATGTACACTGTAGCCTGGTTTTGATTTAAAACTTTCGTGACTGCAGGGATTCATATTCTTCGTTCTTTTATTATTTTATTGTTTCCCTTCTACGTGACTTTACCGAAAGAACCAAGACTATGTTGCCTGGTTCTTAATCGGATTGAGTGTACTGGCAGTCTAGTGTAGCCTCAATAAACGTTTTTGGGTTAGATCGCGTTATTTATAAACGTGTCGTAACCCTCCACCACCCGACACAGCCAATCAGTAAAAAATGTGTCACGTTGACAATAGACAAAATATTCATAATAAAGGTTTTTGGGTTAGATCGCGTTATTTATAAATGTGTCGTAACCCTCCACCACCCGACACGGCCAATCAGCAAAAAAAGTGTCACGTTGACAAAAGACAAATAATTCACTACTTTAGCCCACCGGTGTGTTGAAGAGTGAATCCACAACATTTACAGTTTGAGTACGACGTTTCGCTGGTAAATACATCCAGCATCATCGGGCAATTCGCCAGAATGGTAAAGCCCTCGCTTGCTCCCGGTTTTAAATAGAGCAGCAGGGTGACGTCATCATTTAACTCATATCAGGTGCAGTGATTAGAGGCAGAGGGGGGGTATTGTAATTATATAATCGATTAGTAATCAGTCAATGGTTATGATTAATAATGATTGTAGATTAGTAATTAGTTGTAATTTGTGTTAGTGATTACATGCTATGTTAGTAATCCTTTAATTAGTATGTGTTTCCCCTATAAGGAATTGTAATGTGCGTTCATATTCTTAGCTCCCTCGGCAAAGCCACGCTGAAGGGAAACAACAAAACAACAAATATATATTTTATTATTTTATTGCTTCACCCCAACGCGACTCCACCGAAAGAGCCAAGAACATGAATTACTGCAGTCACAAAAGCTTCAAATCAAAATGTAATGTGTATTATTTAATAATACGCTTCCAGGCCGCACTAAGGCTGTAGCTGTCAGAGAGATTAAAGTTATTTTTATTCCTCTCAATTTCAATGGATTCTCGAATTAGTCTTTGCCAGTAATAATTAGTTTTACACAACACTGCAACATTATCAAAATCAATTGAGTGCCCTTGTTGACAAGCATGTTCTGCCACTGCCAACAGTTGTGTTTGAGATAATTTAATATTTCTCTGATGTTCTTTTAGTCTTACGCTGATGTTACGTCCCGTCTGTCCAATATAGCATCTGCCACATAAACAATTAATCCGATATACACCTTCTGTTGATAATTTAGGTAATGCGTCTTTAGTGTAAGATACTAGTTTTTGAATTTTGTGCACTGTACCAAATCTTACTGTAATGTTTTGCTTTTGCAAAACACGGGCTAATTTGTCAGTTACTCCAGAGATATATGGAATTTTTATTGTTTTAACAATCTGATCGCTTTCAGCAGTATTGCTTTGCGATCGTGATTTGGCATTCAGTGCTCTGTTAATTTGAGCATTATTGTAGCCATTCTGTCGTAGTGCGTCTTTAACGTGTTTGATCTCTCTCACTAGACTCTCACCATCTGACACTGTTTTAGCCTGATGTATGAGCGTCTTGATAAGAGAGGATTTCTGAGCTGGATGATGATGTGAATCTGCATTCAGATAGTCTAGTGAGAGAGATCAAACACACGGGACGTAACATCAGCGTAAGACTAAAAGAACATCAGAGAAATATTAAATTATCTCAAACACAACTGTCGGCAGTGGCAGAACATGCTTGTCAACAAGGACACTCAATTGATTTTGATAATGTTGCAGTGTTGTGTAAAACTAATTATTACTGGCAAAGACTAATTAGAGAATCCATTGAAATTGAGAGGAATACAAATAACTCTGACAGCTACAGGCTTAGTGCAGCCTGGAAGCGTATTATTAAATAATACACGTTACATTTTTATTTAAAGCTTTCGTGACTGCAGTAATTCATGTTCTTGGCTCTTTCGGTGGAGTCGCGTTGGGGGGAAGCAATAAAATAATAAAATATATTTGTTGTTTTGTTGTTTCCCTTCAGCGTGGCTTTGCCGAGGGAGCTAAGAATATGAATGCACATTACAATACCTTATAGGGGAAACACATACTAATTAACGGATTACTAACATAGCATATAATCACTAACACACATTACAACTAATTACTAATCTACAACTCATTACTAATCATAACCATTGACTGATTACTAATCGATTATATAATTACAATACCCCCCCTCCGCCTCTAATCACTGCACCTGATATGAGTTAAATGATGACGTCACCCTGCTGCTCTATTTAAAACCGGGAGCAAGCGAGGGCTTTACCATTCTGGCGAATTGCCCGATGATGCTGGATGTATTTACCAACGAAACGTCGTACTCAAACTGTAAACGTTGTGGATTCACTCTTCAACACACCGGTGGGCTAAAGTAGTGAATTATTTGTCTTTTCTCAACGTGACACTTTTTTTTGCTGATTGGCCGTGTCGGGTGGTGGAGGGTTACGACACATTTATAAATAACGCGATCTAACCCAAAAACCTTTATTATGAATAATATTGGTCGCGAAAGCCTACGTGTTAAACTGAATAGACAAAATAGTTAACTACTTTAGCCCACCGGTGTATTTACCAGCGAAACGTCGTACTCAAAAATTGTAAATGTTGTGGATTCACTCTTCAACACACCGTTAATATAAAATAGTGAACTATTTGTCTTTTGTCAACGTGACACATTTTTACTGATTGGCCAAGTCGGGTGGTGGAGGGTTACGACACATTTATAAATAACGCAATCTAACCCAAAAACGTTTATTATGAATAATATTGGTCGCGAAAGCCTAAGTGTTAAATTGACTATAGTGTAGCCTGGTTATTAATTTTGGTGAGTGTACTGGCAGTCTATAATGTAGACTGTAGCCTGGTTCTTAACCTCGGTAAGCGTACTGACAGTCTATAATGTAGATTGTAACCCTGGTTCTTCAGTGGGCGTTAGCTTGTAAATATGTTTTCATTCAATTGCACATTGCAGCAATAAATTAAATATTAATGTCGATGTCTGACGCCGCGAGAGGGCTTCAGGAGGGAGTGGTTCATTACATGGTCCATAGTTTGAGTTGCGTGACCACTGTTGCACTGTGGCGTTTAATGTATCTCTTTGTATTTCTACGTCTCTTAGTATCTCCATGGGTTTACTATATGTTTTGGGTTTACATAGAGACACATAGTGAGATACAAAGACTCGTAGACATTAGGAGATGCATACTCATAGAGACAGAGATACATTAAAAAACAGGTCACAGTGCGAAGTGGCCACGCATCCCAAAACTATGGACCTCATCGTTAAACCCCCTGTCGTCTGTGCTCCTTGAAGAACAAAACTACATGGACATCGACTTTGGCATTTAGCTCCTGAACACATTGGGCGGTCACGGTGGTGAGATGTTAACTCCCTGGCCTGGTAAACATGCCAATTCGTTACTAGTACAGCAACACCGGTGTTTTGGGGAGTAAAACCCGGTGTGCTGACCTCGTAACGAATTGTAACGTTCTGTTTACATGACAAACCTTACTAATTGGTACAGTGAGGGAAAAAAGTATTTGATCCCCTGCTGATTTTGTAGGTTTGCCCACTGACAAAGAAATGATCAGTCTATAATTTTAATGGTAGTTTTATTTGAACAGTGAGCGACAGAATAACAACAAGAAAATCCAGAAAAACGCATGTCAAAAATGTTATAAATTGATTTGCATTTTAATGAGGGAAATAAGTATTTGACCCCCTCTCAATCAGTAAAGACTTCTCGCTCCCAGGTGGCTTTTATACAGGTAACGAGCTGGGATTAGGAGCACACTCTTAAAAGGGAGTGCTCCTAATGTCAGCTTGTTACCTGTGTAGTGTTCGACTTTACGCGGACAACGTCTGTCTTTCTTCGAACACCGCTTTATTTACAACATTCAACATGTCCTCCACATTCCACAGTATCCTGGTCACTACGGCTCGCTCGCTGTGCTCTGCTCTTCTTGCTCACCACCTTTGTCTCCCCACTATCACTTCACTTGCTTCGCACTCAGCGACTCCCCGTTCAGCAACTCCGCACACAGCGTCTTCCCACACAGCGACTTCGCACACGCCGCACACAGCGTCTTCAGCTCCGCTATCGCTACGCTCACTCCACTGCTACTTCGTCTTGCTTCGCTATCGCTACGCTCACTCCACTGCTAACTACTTTACCTTGTATTCTTAGTTTTTTCGGTAAAGTCACGTTGAAGGGAAACAACAAAATAATAAAATATATAAAACAATAAAAAATTCTCACGACGTTTCGACCATAACTCAAACGGTCGTCTTCAGGTGTGTTGGTTTGCATACATTTATTTTTAAACGGCGCATTTATTTATTTATAAAAACGTTAGCGCCACGCGCAACGATTTGGCAATTTATTTAGGACTAGTCCATCTATATTCTGAAAAGAGGAGGGGGGAGACGAATTTTTTTTATAATGTATGCTGTCTGAAAGCCACTGTAAGCGTGAACAATCAATTAAGACCTGAAATGGTTTATCAAATCTTTCCAATGATTGCTAAGATAGAATCCATCTTCTCGGTTGAAATTGTCTCTGTGCTTGTATATGTGGATAGCCTCATGAACGAATCTCTCATGGAAGCCAGATGGCTTACAAAGAACCTCTGTCTTGGAAAAGTCAATGGCATGTGAGCCTACTGAATTAGAACAATGATCTGCCACGGCCGAGGTGTTGGTCCTACCGTGTTTAAGGTCTGCTTTGTGTTCACGAATGCGGTCCGAGACATGGCGTTTGGTTTCTCCAATGTAACTACTACCACAGAGGCAACTTAGTTTGTAGACACCAGGGTATTGTATGTCCGGAATCACATCTTTTACAGACGGAACCAGATCACAGATTTTATGTAATGTGTTGAAACGGACCTGGATCTTGTGTTTATTCAAGATTTTGGAGATCTTTTTTGTGATCCCCGCAATGTAGGGTAAAGTGATGGTTTTGAAAGGCTCCTCAAGAGGGTTCTTCTTCATGGTTTGAGTGATAGCTTTGCGGATTGTATAGTCGGAGTAACCATTAGCCCTAAGAGCTTGGTGTACGTGCTTGAGTTCACTGCTTATGTGTTCCTGGTCGGATATGCATTGAGAGAATTCTTCTGTGATGGATGGTGGTGGGAATCCGGTTTCAGATAAGCATCCGTATGGGTAGCTTTCCTGTAGACAGAGTGGCTCATTGAACCATCAGGTTTCTTTTTAATTAGGACATCCAAAAAAGGTATCTTGCCATCTATTTCGACTTCCATGGTAAATCTGATGGCTGGGTGTATGGAATTGATGTGGTCGAAGAATTGGTCTAGAGCAGGCCGGCCATGTGGCCAGATGACAAAAGTGTCATCCACGTACCTCTTCCATAAGGTTGGGCGCAGAGTGGCAGTCTGGATGCTATAACTGGAGAAAGGGGGGAGCCCATTGGGGTGCCCTCAGTTTTTTTGTAGAAAGTTCCATTCCAAGTGAAGTATGTATTGGTTAAACAGTGTCTCACCAGGGGGGGGTACCTCAGTGTTTAGTCCTTGATGAACCAAGTCTTCAATGATTGCAATGGTGTCAGGTACAGGAACCTTGGTGAATAAGGAAACTACATCAAAACTGACAAGCAGGTCGTCTGGGGACAGGGAAATACCCTTGATTGTCGATACCAGGTGAGTAGAATTTTGTACCGCAGAGGTGGTCTTTCCAGTGAAAGGACGCAGGATTTCAGACAAAAAACGAGCTAGTTTGTAGGTGGGGGAGCCGATAGTAGAGACTATGGGACGAAGGGGTGTATCTACTTTATGTATTTTTGGTAAGCCGTATAATCTTGGTGGCCTGGCAGCAGAAGGTTCCAACGAAAACTGTTTAGATTGATCAATTAATGCGGTTGAATCAGAAATTATTTTGTTGGTTTGTGTGACGAGGCTGTTGGTGGGATCTCTTTTTATTTTTGTATAACTACCATCGTCGAGTAATTCTTTAATTTTGTTGTTGTATTCTACCAATTTTGTTGTTGTATTTTTTTATTGTTTTATATATTTAATTATTTTGTTGTTTCCCTTCAACGTGACTTTACCGAAAAAACTAAGAATATGAATTACTGCAGTCACGAAAGCTTTAAATCAAAATTTACTTTACCTTGCTTCAGCTTCGCTATCGCTACGCTCACTCCACTGCTAACTACTTCGTCTTGCTTCAGCTTCGCTATTGCTACGCTCACTGCACTGCTAACTACTTCGTCTTGCTTCACACTGTTCCAACTCCGTTTCCCACTCTATCTCCAAACTCTGGTTCCAAACTCTGGTTCCAAACTCTGGTTCCAAACTCTGGTTCCAAACTCTGGTTCCAAACTCTGGTTCCAAACTCCACGTCTTCCCTGTCCAGCTCCCAACTCTAACTCCCCCTCTCTGTGTCTCCCCCAATTTATCCCCATTCTCATTATTGCTAATTAATTGGCCCGCGTGCCTCCGCACGCTTCGCGTCCTCAACCACCTGCCTTTCTCCAGACATCTCGATGCCGCCTCGCCCTTGACAACAGCCACAGCCAATCACCGCCGTTGCTGATCCTCTGGCTTAATTGGCCCTACCGTTACCTCATCATCCTAGCCTTTGCACCTGGCTGTCCTAACACGACCCACACTGTTTTCGCCTTCTCCACAGGCTGACCCAAGATAACCCACACTGTCCGTGTGATCATGCAATCGCGCAGTTTCCACAACACACCTTCATACTCCACTACACCTGTATAAAAGACACCTGTCCACAGAAGCAATCAATCAATCATATTTCAAACTCTCCACCATGGCCAAGACCAAAGAGCTCTCCAAGGATGTCAGGGACAAGATTGTAGACCTACACAAGGCTGAAATGGGCTACAAGACCATTGCCAAGCAGCTTGGTGAGAAGGTGACAACAGTTGCTGCGATTATTCACAAATGGAAGAAACACAAAAGAACTGTCAATCTCACTCGACCTGGGGCTCCATGCAAGATCTCACCTTCGTGGAGTTGCAATGATCATGAGAACGGTGAGGAATCAGCCCAGAACTACACAGGAGGATCTTGTCAATAATCTCAAGGCAGCTGGGACCATAGTCACCAAGAAAACAATTGGTAACACACTACGCCGTGAAGGACTGAAATCCTGCAGCGCCCGCAAGGTCCCCCTGCGCAAGAAAGCATATATACATGCCCGTCTGAAGTTTGCCAATGAACATCTGAATGATTCAGAGGACAACTGGGTGAAAGTGTTGTGGTCAGATGAGACCAAAATGGAACTCTTTGGCAACAATTCAACTCGCCGTGTTTGGAGGAGGATGAATGCTGCCTATGACCTCAAGAACACCATCCCCACCGTCAAACATGGGGGTGGAAACATGCTTTGGGGGTGTTTTTCTGCTAAGGGGACAGGACAACTTCACCGCATCAAAGGGACGATGGACGGGGCCATGTACCGTCAAATCTTGGGTGAGAACCTCCTTCCCTCAGCCAGGGCATTGAAAATGTGTCGTGGATGGGTATTTCAGCATGACAATGACCCAAAACACGGGCAAGGCAACAAAGGAGTGGCTCAAGAAGAAGCACATTAAGGTCCTGGAGTGGCCTAGCCAGTCTCCAGACCTTAATCCCATAGAAAATCTGTGGAGGGAGCTGAAGGTTCGAGTTGCCAAACGTCAGCCTCGAAACCTTAATGACTTGGAGAAGATCTGCAAAGAGGAGTGGGTCAAAATCCCTCCTAAGATGTGTGCAAACCTGGTGGCCAACTACAATAAACGTCTGACCTCTGTGATTGCCAACAAGGGTTTTGCCACCAAGTACTAAGTCATGTTTTGCATGATTGATTGTGAGGGGGTCAAATACTTATTTCCCTCATTTAAATGCAAATCAATTTATAGCATTTTTGACATGCGTTTTTCTGGATTTTTTTGTTGTTATTCTGTCTACCACTGTTCAAATAAACCTACCATTAAAATTAAAGACTGATCATTTCTTTGTCAGTGGGCAAACGTACAAAATCAGCAGGGGATCAAATACTTTTTTCCCTCACTGTAGGTGACGGGTTTAACGATACACTTATATTTACGTTATCTAACCCAACAACCCATTATGGATAATATTAGTTGCGAAAACCTACGTGTTAAACATATAAATCATGTTTCGACTATTTCAGCAGAGCCAGGCTTATTACACGAACACTGCTGCTGTTTACCAGATGTTATTGGAACGATTACTCCCATGCAAACGAACGATTGTATGTAAGGATGTTTAAAATATATTACAGTTACTAAACACCTTGTTGTGGAGAATTATGGGTACAATTTATCTAAAAGTTGTCTGATGGGCTGATTTGTTTTATTGTATTTACTTGTGGAGATACATAACGAAGTTCTGGTTATACTGCATATGCTTTTATCTTAATAATTGACTACGGAAAGCTTCATTATGATTGGCTGGTGTTCATACTTTTTTTCTGCTGGTGCTAAGCCACTGGTGGAAATTCCACGTTCCTAAAACAGCCTGGTCTTTTCATAGAACGGCCACTTTGGACTTCCCACACAATGAGCAACATTGTTGCGACAAGTATTATATATTTTATTATCTTATTGTTTCCCTTCTACGTGATTTTACCGAAAGAACCAAGAATATGAATCCCTGCAGTCACGAAAGCTTTAAATCAAAATGTAAGTATTAATAGGTTTAGTGTTAGCTCAAGCAGGTCTGACTGCTGATGAGACTCGGAATGTTGAAATCGGTCCAGAGTTTGCTTGTATCCAACAGATGCTGCTGATGAGATACCTCCTGGAAGGCCATGGGTTGTGTAAAAAATGCTTTTGTTTTTGTAGAGAGACATGGGAATAAGCGTTATTTATCATATTAATAGGTTTAAATAGATACAAAACCCATCCAGGTGGAGGGAGTAAAGAGCACGTTTACACGTTATTTTAAGATAGTTTGTTGGAAATGTTGTACAAGCACAAATAACAATAACTCAACAACATTCGTCAATAACACTGTGACCTTAAAAGTAAAAAATATATATGCGACGTGTCAGGCAATGATCCTTCATAGCACATAAATGTTATGTTTACGTCTCGATTTTCAATCCAAGTATCGTAACAGAACAAATGCTATGTGAAATGACTCGGTCCTTAGGTCAGATTAATATAATTAATTGAACTGGAAACAACTCAATCTAGATCTGAAACAGCTGTCAAGCTGTTCCCTTCCCTCAATGCGTTCCATGCCTACTTACGCCTGTAACAACGGTAGGGGGCAGTGTGCCCCAACTTGTCATCAATATTAATATTCTCTGGGGCTGTGTGCCTAATGCTGTTGTTGCTCCTTCACAGACCCTGTGTGATTGGAGTTATTGGGTCCAATCATGGCAGACTGGCTCCACTGCAACATGTGCTACTCGCAACCTGGGCCCGATGTCCGCGGTTTTACGTTCACCAACTGTGGGCACATCATCTGTCATAACTGCAACAGCAAAGGTTTTGATCATGACATGTGTTTATTCATAGAAACATACTAAGGGTTGTCAAAATGTATGACAGAGTATACATTTTAATTACTCTACAAAGTGGTATTCTTTTTATCATTGCCGGAGGAATGATAGTCAACCACCAACCCCGGATTTGAACTCCTTTCAATTGCGAGCCGCTTATTACCACTAAGCCACCTGTAATACAGCGCATTGTTTTATCAATATTAAACATGTAATATACATATACATAATAATTAATGTGACAATGTGTTAACTTCGATAAAAAAATTGTATGAAATCTAAAGACCAATTAATGACTCTTGAATATTAAAGAGAGAATGATAATGGAGGTCGTCAGAAAGGATAAACTGTTTTGGACACATTCTACTGGGGGATAGTTTGATGAATGATATAACACAAAGAAGAAGGGAAGGGTAAAATAAGAGGACGGCCAAGTGTTTGTTTGTTTGTTGGAGGAGCTAAAATAATGACGATACGTGGAAATGACAAGCAGAAAACAGAGAAGGGTTGGAGACCATGGCAGCCCAGGACCTGATTAAGGCAGAGCACCAAAGAAGAAGACTTCCTCTGATTGGATGTCAGAAGTAATTATGTGATATCCACTTCTGTGGGGCGTTCTCTTAACACGCAGGGTTGCACTGCCCTACCAGAGATTGGACGAATTTTTATTCTCGTGTTACTACACCGATAGCACAATCAATATAATGAGGGAAAATAGAGTTAAGAAAAACATGTTCTTATTTAAGTTGAACTTAGGTTCTTCATCCATGCATCACATTTCATGTGTGACAATAGATTTATTTGCAATCAATAGATCCAATTAATCACTTTACCATTCCATATAAAAATATAAGATTATTTATTTAAATCTCAAACACTTATTGACTTGATGTGAGAGTTAATTGTTTTACCCCTAGTTGCTACAGCACATAACTAATAATCATTGTTTTTGCTGCTTATATTAATTTTCATCAAGATTTTCCTTTAACCAAAAGAGTAAGTAAACCCATTCAGGCACATGAAGCAACATTGCCCGTTTTGTAAGAGTGATGCATTGATTAAGTGTTATAAAATTTGTACATGCATTAAGCTCGCATTTATTTTAAATTTTGCAGTTTCTATGGACAAATGCGGCATCTGTGATGTACCTTGCAGAAAAATGGTTCTCTCTAACAAGGTAATCGATGAAAATGAATGCATAGCCATACAAACACAACGAAGATATCTTGTTTAATCTTTGGTTGGGGCAGGTGCTGTTAGCAAGTACCAATGAAGGTTGATACAGCACACGAAGCGGTACTCTGGCTTAACACCTTACCCAGCCGCCTTTGTATATCATGTTTAAGAAAAAGAGGTAGTGATGGGAAAGACAACCTGGTGAAAATACAGAGCATGACATATATATTTTAGTCTTTTTTTTATAATACACTGATTTATATATTTAAACGCTTTATAAATCCATACTGTATGGTATACATTTTTTTGTAAGTGTAACTGCTAATGAGTAAATGTGTACTTAAAATATGTTAATGCATTGCACGAAGTAGGTAACAGTTAATATATAAGTTAAATGGATGATAATACATTACATGATGCGTTTACATACTTTCTAAAGCCATATTACACTGTATAGATTTTGCTTATGAATGCGTCTGTTAATCACCGTATTTTTTTGTCTAAACAGATGGCATCAAAAGAAAAAATGTTTTTTATTGACCCAGCCGAAACAGTCAAAACATATCTGATGCAAGTTATACAAGTATGAATATACATTTTTAAAATACAATGCAGGGGAGGGGTGGGGAATGATTGTGAGATTGCGGTGGGTGGCAATAGCCATGGGGCCGCATGCTGAGTAAGCCTATGGGGCAAACGAAACTGGTTGAGGGGACACAAGCGATTGGCTTCCATCCCCTTGTATAAAAGTTGGGGAGCCAGCTGTCCTACCCTACCCACTTTGTTTGACTTAAGAGCCGGCAACCAACTTTGGATGAATGCCATCTTTTCAAGAAGTCTGACAACAACAAAAAAACGACTGTTGAGTTGATACTTGTTGCCGCAATCGAGTAATGGCAGGCAGTGTGTGATGTGTCACTGCGTGCACTTTTATGCGTAAAGCATGCCTGATTCTCCACAAGCTCGTAAATATAAAACCACCTTGAACATGTTCTTGTTTTTTACATGCAGGTAATGGAATTTCAGAAAACTCAAAGGTGTAAACTTTTCATCAACCAAACACAGAAGGTAATATTGACTTTGTATAAATAAAAATACCCTATTTCTACATACAGCTCTCCGACGTGATTTGTGTTGTGCCGCACGTTGTTCAGCATGGTGTTCGACGTTTCGCTCCACATGCCGGAAACTTCAGAAACTGAAATGTCGGATGCCACGTTGAACAAAGGCAATGCAACCCGAAAACACATTAGAGAGCTATACAGCATAACCGCATAATCCTACACGGGTGTAACACTACTTTACATCTCTGATATAAAAAAAATGTATAACCAGGACAGTGGCTCTTTCTTCAGATGTCAAGAATGGAAGCGGCACAAACGCAAATGACCAATAAAATACAGGAAATGGGAAGGTAAGCAGTACACCACCTTCGTGTCAGTGAAACAGAGTTGCCAACTCACTTGTGAAGTAACTGCATCCTTTAAGCACACTACAATGAGCATTACATAAGCAGTTCATTTCAGTTAATTTATTAAGTATAGCCCTGTGAGCCATTCGGCTCTTGAATCGGGTGCAACCGCAACAAACAAAAACATGAACAAGAAACATCTTAAAGTGACTACGTGCAACAGAAAAATCCAGGAAAAAACAGCAAAGTTTTACAGAAAAAGCACCGTATATCAATGCTGTGTGCAAAAATCCCAGTGGGATGCAAGTCAAACAATAACAACCATAAGACAATCTAGATTACAGTCATCAGTCTAACTCTGTACTACAACAAACACATTTTGCTAAACCAGAACCTTTTCGAAATCACCAAAATAAAGCTATAAAAACAATGTAACAGTGATCATAGGATGAGTTGATAGTCTTAACATTAAACGATATACATCACATGTACGACCAAACTTTGCAGCCATAGCATCATGAGATGCGTATTACGACTAACGAAGGCGACGTCTTTGCATAGACCTGCACTGACGAGTGGTCGTTAGAGTAAAAATACTAAAACGGGCGAGGAACATTTTCCTTACTGAGGGTCGAATAGGACTTAAATACCTTTGGCGGATTACACAGTGATACACGTGTTAACGTTATCCAATGATACAACAAATAATTCGGGATCACCTATGCCACAGTGACAAAAGAGGCTGAGCTCAATGAAATTATAATTACAACCGCTGTGAACAGGTTAAAATATTCCCCTGAAGTATCACATTAGTATCCGCAAGATGCTGTGATGAACAAATGTTTGTGGGCCTTTTCAAAGTGATAGGCCTCGTAGCCGTAGGCCAGGGGTGGGGAACCTTTTTTCTGCCAAGGGCCATTTGGATATTTATAACATCATTTGCGGGCCATACAAAATGATCAACTTAAAAATTAGCCCGTTATATTTGGTCAAACATTTAATTAACTCGCCCCTAATGCGATGGCTGGAACTGCTTCTCTTTGGCGAGGCGTGTGATGATGTTAGCCGGTGTTGATGATGTTGCTACTCGCAACTGCTTTTTCAGGTTTGCTCCTAGATTTATTGAATTTCGAGTCCCGCCTTCGGTTGCCTTGGCAGGGCCACACCAAATGGTTTCGCGGGCCTTATACGGCCCGCGGGACGGACGTTCCCCACCCCTGCCGTAGGCCATACAACATTAATTCATGGGCCAGATATGGCCCATGAGCTATCAGTTGCCCACCCCTGTATTAATTTAATTATGATACGGTCTCTTTTTACCTGAATTTGTATTTTTTTGTATCTTATATGTTTCGTTTTGTTTGTTTCATTAGGCTAAGTGTAATGTTATATAATCGTCATAACACTTTTGTGTTTAGTTTGTTATCCTTCCTCACACCTCCAATTTAGCACAGTTGGCTACGTACGGTGCGAAGGAACTTCAACATACATCTATAACGTTTGCATAAAATAAAAATAATTCCGCAATTGTATGCATGTATTTGGGGGTACAATAAGTCGTTTTAATTGGTGAATTGATGCATCGTTTCATGCATAGTACACATTAAACACATGTATTCATAACTGGCGCCAAATTAACAAACACCACCATATGCCTTAAACTTTGTGTGTTAGGGAATGTGCCATGCTTAGGAGAGAGAATGCAGAGCTGAGAAATGCCGCACAGATGGCAAGAGTAAGCACAATTACAATCGCAACATTTATTGCAATGTATTAATAGGTTTACATGCATTCATTTGGTAAAGTGTAAAGTGACACATTCTAATTCTGAATTTTCTGATTTTTTTTAGGGTTCCCCTGCAATGTATGGTTTAAGGTTGGTATGAATTTTACAAGTCACACCTTTGGAGTGACTGTGCAAGCTGCAATTTCCCCAATAACATTTATAATGTTCAAACTGGTTTCTAATAACTTTTTGAACTTTACTTGAAAATGTAGTTTCTCAACAACCATTATGCAAAATACCTTGTCATTTTTTCTATCCAAATTGTCTGATTATTTATTAATATTTAATTGTGCAATGGTATCTTGATACATATTGCCCAATGTTAAATACAATTTATTATAGGCACCAATATAATTAATCAATTTTGCCCTTTGTTAACCCACTGCTAGATGAAGGCCTCCTCACGTTGTGCTGGCCATGGAGCTTTTTTTTACCATACTTCAAAATGATCAGTGTGGGAGAATTGCGGTGTTTTAGACCAGTTAAGATATCACTCGCGCGTATATGAGTGGGATGCATTGTGGAAGTGCAGGCCCATGGGGTATGCCGTGGAAAGGTTTTAATTCGACAGTGAATTGATATTGGCTGATGATGATGTGGGGAAATACTCCGTCACGTGGATGCCAACGTATACTCCCTGAAATATAACTTGTCTCTACTTGAAACACCCTTGTCAATGTTAGTTTTATTTTAAAATATACATTACACGGCAGACGCAGCTATCTCGTACAGCAGTGGACAATAAAGAGTCGCCCAAAGTGTGATGACGGTCACCAATCTAAAACCATGGACCGCATCATAATGCTACTGCCCGCTTATACCAGCAATTGGCAGAATTTCAGATGATTACCAGGCTACTCCTGGAGCAGTCCTAATGGCTCAATCACCAACCTCAATATTAACAGATAAACATTGCGGATCAACTCTCCAGTTGACACATATCCTTGTCTGTTCACATGTAGGTACAATGGTGTCTTTATGTCTGTTTCATGTTTCTGTAGCTTTGGTAATTGTACTATGACTGGTATAAAATGAATGCCCAAGCAAACTTGCGATTCCTTGTGTGATAGTTGTTTTTGCTTTTCATTTTTGTTTGTTTCATTGCTGTCCCTTGTTTTGCTTTTGCCTTTTTGTTTGTGATCCAGGTCATTCTTGCGAATTACAACTTTCCTGTTCTCTTGAGTTCTCACCTGGTTAAACAAAAATCAACTTGAGCTCCCCACCATACAGTATGAAAGAAGAAACACCGTATTCTCCTTTAACTTTGTACATTTGTGTTTCAGCTTGAATACAACAGGAAACAGACACACCAATTTTACACCATGTGCCATGCCAGGGGCTGGTAAGTATCAGGATTAGTAAAATACTGTAATCGGCATCCCATAACACACTTGAATGACCTGGTGGTTGGCAGCAGAAGGACAGACCAGCATAATCCATTGTCGTACTCTGCAGTACTTCTGTGCCCATGTGTCTTTGCTCACCACCTTCACCGATCGGTTTCTCTCAGTGGTGTAGTATTTTTGTATTCGTTCACAATTGAGTTTTGGGTCAGATCACAACCGAACAAAGTTGTAATGTGAACAAACGCACCGATGTATTATTCAATCTTGATTTGATGTTTTCGTGACTGCAGAGATCTGTTTGGTTCTTTCGGTAAAGTCACGTAGGTATAAAATAAATTAAACCACGACGTTTTGGGCGCAACACAAACGTTCGTCATCAGGTGGGACAACCTCTCTATTGCTCCTCCCCCCTCTCTTACCTATATAGCCTCTTGTTACAAGCAGCTCTTTTGCCCACTGCAGCAATTGTTTCTTGCTGTGGTTGTCCCACCTGATGAGGGACGCTTGTGTTGCGCCCAAAACGTCGTGATTTAATTTATTTTATACCTACGTAACTTTACCGAAAAAACCAAAGAGTATGCAATGTATTATTGTTTTAGCACGTTGATATGTTGATGAGCAGTCTACAAACTTTTAACAATTAGCTACGACATCTCGCTGAAAGTTGAAACCAGCATTATTCAAATGCCAAACAGCATTATCATCCCCTTTATTCTTGGGACTGATGCGATGTATCAGTATGCCTCCAAAAGGGAATGGTAAAAAAAATACATCTATTTGGCTGTGTTGGATGGAGGAGGGTGTACCACACAATTGGCGTTTCACTCATGCAATATGACCCAAAATCAATTATGAAACAAAATATTGGTCGTGAAAGCCCACGTGTTCAATCACCATCATGAACAATATAATTAGTGTTTCATGCCTTGTTGTTGTGAACATTAGTTTGGAAGAGAGATCATTTGGCTTCAGCCTTAACCAAAATGGTGAAAATGTCTTCATTTTCAGCGTCACCTCAGCACAGTCGGGGTGCTGTGTCCCCATTCTGTCGGAATAAAAGAACCTTCTCAAACACGTGAGTTGTTCACACATGGCTTTGCTTTGAAGTACTTGATTTCTCATCAGCTACGGTCACTGCAGTTCATATCTGTGTTCATTTCCCCCTGAGCCACTAGAGATAATATGTTGACACTGAGAGGGCCGGATGACTGAGGTTAGTGCGATGAGCTGGCGCCACTGAAATTCTGAGTTTAAATCCAGGCAGGCCGGGTGTGATTAAACCAGGTTCACAAGTGTAATGCGTTGATGGTCTAAGCCCGATCACAAACGACCGCACACAAACATCATCGCATTCCAACTTGGTCCTGCACTTAATTGGACTAAATTCCAACTGCTGAGGATTAACAATATCGGTTTTACTGTCATCTGATGAACATTAATCTCGGTGGGAGGCCGGATGGGAAAGTGCTGCCCCCTACTCTGCGGACCAGAGGTCACTGGCAGGGAATTCAGAAGGTGCTCTGTTATCCACTTATGTGGGCTGTTCTCCAACATAAAGGGTTGTGCCCTCCAAAAGATCCACATTAATCTGCATTTCATGACATGACACCAGTTGCACAATAAATATGGGGAAAAACTATATTTTTAAAAAGTATCCTTTTGGTGCAACATGTTATTCGTGTACTTGACCTTGAACTGCTTTTCGATAAATAAGCATTACTAAGAGGCCAGCAAGGATTTACCACCGGAGAAAAGTGAAAATTTAAAAATGTTTAAGTTCCTTCCACTTTTGTATGCACATGCATCATTGAAAGACAATGTTCTCAATGTATTAGGGTGCCTTGAGACATGAGTGGAAGCTGCCTTACAAATAAATGTAAATTATTATCATTAGAAAGTCTGACACTGAAGCAGGTCAAGAACATTTTGTGATATCAGATAAACCGTTTGGCCACACCTGATTAAAGAATTATCAAAATAATGTTTAGTCTTTCGAAGGCTATGGTGTTAAATAACTAAACTCCGTTTGCATTCTCCCAGTCCTGAAGGAGGAAACTGTGGTAGTGTCAAGGGAACATGGGCTCGACCATCGCCGGTACGCCTCTCAAGAAACTCAACATTTTTCTTATTTTTTTTTTCCATATAAATACAACATCAAAGTTTGATTATAAATGTGCCGATTCAATGGAATATATATTTCGTTGACCACTTTGCTTGGTCCATTCATATCCGAGTGAATAAAGTGCTGTGTTGATGGCCAGCCCGACATTGTTTGGCAGAATATCATGGTATCCACACCACAGACACCTACAGGGTCTTCCCGAGTATCGATGAGGAACCCTCCAGCAGAGGGCAGGATGGGTGAGGCTTAGCACACTTAAACACATGAAATAACTCAAAATACCTGAATGGCTCAATCACTTTAAACTGTCTTAATAGTTGCACGACATAAGCCAAACGAATTAAGAGCAGCTGAACGCAGGTCACTGACTTCGTAAAGCAGTTTAATATCCACTGCACCAGTGTACCACCGCTCCACTGCCCCCTGACTAGATTGGTACAGTAAAATGTCAATGCTGCCTCTTGAGGCCTATGACTAAAGTGCCCTGGTATTATCCAGATTTCATCACATCTCAGAAGAAAAAGGCAGATTTAAGCCTGGAATGTGCTTTGTTGGGTGACCACCATGCATTCCTGGTTGTGCTTTGTCATGGCTTGAAAAGGACCATGTAGCAAAATCCACTGTTATATACTTCTATGCTTCCATGATTATACTCCCTGCCTTAAACCCGCATTGACCAGCCCTTCATCCAGCAGTGGATTTAAAAATGGCTGTAAAATTATTCACTTTCAAAACCGAAATATGTAAGTTTTGTTAACTGTAATTATTTTATCTATTTGACAGGAACACCATCTCAAATGCAAAGTCAAAGCGTGATGAGGTAATATATTATTCACTGTCTCATACATATGTAGTGTCCTCCTTTCCCGAGGTGCATGTGGCGTGTGGCGCATACACTCAGTCGGAGACGAGGTGGTTGCAGGAGGCACCGTCTCTCTTTATTATCTCGTTCAACTCCACCAACTCCGGCCTCTTCTCTCGCGACCACGCTGCCCTACTGCCCGGTCCAGACACGACCCTGTCCGCATTGCACCGACGGCAACGACCGAGACAGCCAACTACTGTATTCCCCTTGGCGTGGCTTGGCTCCGCCCTCGCCGCGCCTCCCTCCTCGAACCCACCAGAGGGTTCCAGGGGCCTCCGTATAAGGTCTACAGTGACCCTTGCCCCAGTTCCTCCGCCCTGCCGGTACACCCGTGTATATGCTCAACGGCGTGTGCGCTGTGTCCACCTGCAGTTGCTGCTGCTGCTGTACAGCAGCCGGCACTGTGTCACCACATGTATTCAAGTCGAAACGAATCAAACATAACACGATTGAAATATTCCTTTGTTTTGACTACACCACTCAAGACCTGCACATCATGCAAGTTTATTTATTTTAAAAAATAACTTTGTAAAAATTGGAACTGATAGAGAGCTTAGCCATACACCACTACTTCCTTCAAGAAATAAACAGGGCAGAGTGCCCACAACCATCTAAAACAGGATTCAGAGACGAGAATTACTTTCGGTACCATAGGAATGGCGTAAGCTCGGTCAAAGATGCGACTCGTCGCACTCCCAAGTGAATCTGGAAGTTAAGACATTGGGCAATCTCAAGCGACTTCTGTTACTGCGAAAGGCCCTTGCAGTGACGGAAGTGACTTTATGTTAACGTGTCACCTGCCAAAGGTTTTTTGAAAGTCTGATTCAGCCCTCAGTAGGGAAACGGTTCCCGAGCCCCTGCTTTAAGAAGACTCTTGGCACTAAGCTTGATAGGCTTCACAGGCTTTTTAAACACTTTCCAACTCAGGTTGAGACGGTTAGTGCGTTACCTCTGTCACAACTCTCAGAATTTACCCAAAGTGAATTAAATGTCAATGTAAAGTTGCCTTGCTACGAGGGAATTACCCGAGTTAAAACGGAGCCACATTGATTAAAGGGGTTGCACAAAACTTTCCGAGACCCAAACCAGTGTTAAAAGGATTCGGCTTGCCGGCCAAGACGATGAACGTCGTCTAATTGTTGCGGCTCGTGGAAGCTAACATTACCATTGGAACACTCTTGAAAACACACGTTGGAAAGCGCGAGAAACAATCCGAATGTGCGTGCAAGATCCGTGTGTGAAGCGCCATGGTGGCTAGGAAACGTTAACTACCTCGCTCGGTATGCAGGAGGTCGTGGGTTCGATCCCGACCCTGACGCCTGCTGTATATTTAGAGTTTGCATGTTCTCTCTCTTCTCGTGGTCACGTGGATTTTACTCCAGGACCTCTGGTTTTTCCCTCCATATTTAGAATCAACATCACACATTTACAGTATTTGGCAGATATACATTTCCACGAGATATGCCACTTCGTTGAGCTTATCGTTTGTGGCCAGGTCGCTTCTGACAAAAGAGCTACGTAGCTCTGTGGGCCTTACCTGGTGAAATAAAAAAACACTTTGGAGTTTTTAACATTTTTATTCCATGTGGTTAACATTGCAGGTTCAGAAGACACCCAGGAATGGTTTCAGGTCCAGCGTGTCCTTCCAATTGGCCGAGCAGCCAGGGCAGGGCTGAGAGCTCGCAGTGCAGCATGATTGCAAAGAACCCCTTGTGCTTCCAGACACCGTTTGCATCGCCCAGCACTAGGCAGATGCACGGCATGTCCTCGTCTCACTTCACAGGTGTGTGCACTGTTGCCGCGCGCTCTTACGATGTTACACGGTGGATGCCATCGTGATCCAAGAGGCGACGTGCGTGTGCGGCCAATTTTTTGTGAAGCCACCGTTTGGACTAGCGCCTCCCCCTCCCACGCCGTGCTGGTTGCAGGGTCATTTCGCATTTCAGCGGTGGGTTCGTGAAGGAGAGGAGCACAGACGTAGATGCATATAGATGTACGGCATGGATTTTGCTACACTGCCCCGCAGCAATATAAGCCTATAACACCTGTCGCGCATGGTGGTCATGCATTTCATGCACTGTCAAGGCTCAGCTCTGCGTAGCTTTCAGAGATCTGTATCAATCTAGTAGGCAGTGGCGGAGCAACGTGCAGTGGTTTTGTGAACCACAGCATGATGTTGGCTGCAAAAGTTGAATTTCTGCCCGTGGCTAAAGTCGTTCGCGAGCGACGTCTGAACTGGTCCTGGGCACTGCCGCTCCACCCACATTGACCAGCATGGGGTGAGGCTTTCATCCAGTAGTGGATTGAAACAGAATTTTTACAATTTATAGGCAAGTATCAATTATATGCTAATTATATGCTCATTTACTTTTAGGATGTTAAAATAATACATAAGGCAGACCATGTGACTATATAAACAAAATATTGATTCTTAAATTGAACATAATCGATTTTTGTTTTGGTGAATCATAGTTAAGTAGTGTAATACATACCTATTGATGTTATTGATTAGCCTTTGAGGGTTGAGAATGTGATGATCTCTGAAGGGGATTGACGTTCATCTTTCGTATGGCCGAGTACCGAGCAAACATTTTACGCCGATGTTGGGGTTGGTGGGCCAGTTGGGGGCTACGCAAGTGATGTTGCCATTTGTCTTGATCATGCTGCCAGGGAATGAGCAAATCGGGCATTTTTGGACGAGGGTGTACCACGATTAGGCTTGATAGCCCCGGTAGCGAGATGTTCAGTACCTCGCCTGGTATGCAGGAGGTCGCGGCTTTTATTCCGACACTGACGCCTGTATATTTGGAGTTTGCATGTTCTCCCCGGGGACCCGTGGATGTTTCTCCTGGTCCTCCGGTTTCCCCCTCCACATTTAAAAACATCCGTTCAGAGTATTTAGCTACTATAAATGTATCACGTGATAAGCCACTTCGTTGAGCTACCATTTGTTACCAGGTTGCTTCTGAAAAAGAGCAATATGGGTTAGTGGGCCTTACCAGGTAAAATAACAAATTGTTCAGTTGGTTCAATGTCGGCTGGTTTTAATCTTCCAGCGATGTAATGGGTGGCTGCACCTGCCGTGCCACGTTCGGATGTGGTTCAAAGCAAGCCACATTATGGCAATGAAATTATGGACTTACCCTCCAAACACTGTTGGATCTTATTATTTTTGACCATGTGAAAATGTATCGAGACATTGAAGTGTTTACTGTAAATCTTACTAAAATATTGTTTTAACAGGTACAAACTTATCATCCAGCCAGGCCAAGACACAGATTCAGGTTTGTTGTTTCATACAATGTTCAATTTGCACTCATCTATAAATTATTATACGCGATCACGAACATTATAGTTGGGTATACTCATTGGCTAGCATGACTAATGAGGAAGGAATTCCATTCTTTCTACAGGTTACATATCCAAAGATTTGATTTCCTGATGCTCTATTGTCAGGTGAGCCCTTCACATATCTCTCTTTAAGTCGTGTTATACATCTACATTAAAGTACTTAATTGTATTGCCCAATATGCTTTGTTACAACATTGACACTTTTTTATTCCCCGCTAAGGTTCCAAGATGCAGCATTGAGAGAGAAACCTGTTGGGACTTTATAACGTTACAGCGCATTGAACAGATTAACTTCTTACATGAAATGGCCTCTTGCAGTTTAAAGGCTTCATTGTTACAGGAGTGTGGCTCTGTTTTTGTTGTTGTTCTCGTTTGAAGTACAATAAAGTTGTCAGTTAACATGTTCAAGGGTCGCACTTAATTCTTCCAATTGTGGGCGTCTATATCATATATAGGGCCGGTAACTCTTGTGCGCAATGACTGTCCTTTCCGTCAGAATTGGGTGCCTCATCTCCAGTGGTAATGTGGATTGCATTTGGCCCAGGTGCAACGAGTGAAATTGAGCATCTCCCGTGATTGGGTCCCTCCGCCACTTGGTGCCCCCTGTTTAGTCCCACCACCTGCACATTATATTTTTATTCTTTTATTGTTTCCCTTCTACGTGACTTTACCGAAAGAACCAAGAATATGAATCCCTGCAGTCACAAAAGCTTTAAATCAAAATTCTCCTGCACAATCAGTTTCAAAGACGAGTAGGTCAATGCCGATTTGATACCTTGAAAAAGATATCTATTTGATGTTTGAACATCTTAAACCTGCTTTATTGCCAGAAAAGGTTAAACCTATTCTTATTTTTTTTATATCAATAACAATATTTACATTTGTGTAACGACCCCAGAGACACGGTCTTGTGAGGGTTCTTTTATTGAAGATACGTCCACTTGACAGCGACGACCCCGAAGACCCCAGATCCTTCTCCTGTCTGTCCCTTAACCTGCCATTACTACTTGTGACCGCTAGTCCCCTATGCTGTCTTTACACTGTTATTACCACTTGTGACCTCTGGTCTCCTGTACTGCCTTTACATTTGTGAGGCTCATTTCATCTGTAGATCCCAGTGCGTCATGCAGATCCCATGAAAAGCAGGAAATAAACGGCCAGAGCTAGGAGGTAGAGGCCAATTTTCAAGACAGACTTTAATATATAATCCAACGACTCTTGATTGTCTTATTAGCAAAGGGCAAAGCATTCCAAAGCCTGAGAGCTGTACTGGCAAACGCCAGATCACCCCAGAAATTGAGTCTTGACCTCAGTACTGAGAAGGCAGCGATCTGAATATATCAGGGACCTCAGTGTACAAATAAATGAGTTCCTGGAAATATTGTGGGATAACCTATTGAGTGCCTTGTTGGTCACCAGCACACCAGCAGGATCTTATAATCCACTTGATGCAAAAACAACAGACCAGGTGTGTGATGTGCTGGAGTCTAACTCGGTCTACTCGGCACCTTAGTCGAAATCTCAGAGAGTGATGTGTTGGAGTAATAAAGTCGGGTGAACAAAAAAGCATGGACCAGTCTCTCCAAGTCGGGTGAAAGAAATCGATCGCAACACAAGCGGTCGTCATCAGGCAAAGGAGTCGGCCTCTAAAGGCAAACTGTTTATAAGCTACAAACTGGTCTGTTTTCTCTCTGATACCTTGCTTCCGTTCAAGGGCAAGACTACCTCAGCAGTACGTAACTCAGCTCACTTGGTCTCTCTAATCAAAGGCATTTCACTGTCCCCAGATGATTTGTTAATCAGCTTTGATGTACCATTGGAACCTCCTTTGCCAGTAGCAAAATATGATAATTGGGTTTTTACCATTTTATCTAGCAACAAAACTGACACCTTTTTTACAAGGAGTCATGCTTGCATTGACCACAATACCTGCGGTCGGAATGCAAACAAAAAACATAACTCTGATAATGTATACACTGTCCTTGAAATTGATTGGTCCACACCCAAGACAACTTTCCTTAGAGCCTCCTCTCACGTGGTGTTGGACCAGATGACGCCAAAAGGCGCATGAGTGCGGCCGCAGGTACTGTGGTCAATGGAAATATGACTCCTTGTAAAAAAGGTGTCAGTTTTGTTGCCAGATAAAAAAGTAAAAAAAAACAATTATGAGCTTTGATGTAGTTTCTCTGTTCACAAATGTTCCTGTACCTGACACCTTATCAATAATTGAAGACTTGGTCCAACATGGACTGAATCCTGATGTACCTACCCTGGTTAGGCACTGCCTTACCAACACTTACTTCACCTGGAATGATACGTTCTACAAACAAAATGAAGGTACCCCCATGGGTTCCCCCTTATCACCACTGATAGCGAATGTTTTCATGGAGAAATTTGAAACAGATGCCATCCAGACATCCACCCTATGTCCTTCCTTGTGGAAGAGATATGTAGATGACACTTTCATCATTTGGCCACATGGCCTGCCAGCATTGAACCAATTTCTCAACCACATCAATTCCATACACCCATCCATCAAATTCACCATGGAAGTGGAGAAGGATGGTAAGCTACCATTCCTGGATGTTTTGTTTGAGAATAGACTTGACGGCTCATTGCGACACTGTCTACAGGAAGGCCACCCACACAGATTCCTATCTGAAACCTGATTCCCACCACCATCCGGCACAGAAGAATTCCCTCATCAAAACACTACACCATAGGGCCCACTGCATTTCCGACCTACACCACCTAGCCAATGAACTGGAACACGTACACCAAGCCCTCAAGATGAATGGATATTCAGACTACACAATTCGTAAAGCTATCACCCCAACCGTTGGGAAAGAACCATCTGAAGACCCAATCAAAATCATCACATTACCATACATAGCAGGCGTTACCAAAAAGATTTCCAAAATCTTAAACAAACACAAGATCCATGTCCGATTCAATGCAGTACACAAAATCCGTGATCTAATCCCATCTGTGAAGGATGTCATTCCTGACATGAGACATAACTTCAACCGAGAAGATCAGGGGTCACCAAACTATGGCCCGCGGACCGGATCCGGCCCGCGATGTCAGTCCATCAGGCCCGCCGACGGTACTTGAATTTGTTTGATAAAACGTATGGAACACGAGACGTTGTGATACAATTTAAATTTTATGTTTAGAATACTAGGAGATCTTCACGCGTGCGGAGACCTGACTGCTATGTGCCTTAAATTTACTATTTTAAATTTTAAATTATTGTATCTAGATTTTCTTGTTTATTGTAATGTTTGCTTATTTCGCGCCATCCCAAGTCCTTCCCCGGCTCGTGGCAGCTCCGCCTACGCTCTGACGTTACCATGGTTTCCATGGCAACGTCATGGCAACACGTTACCATAGTTTCCATGACAACGCCATGGCAACACGTTACCATGGTTTCCATGGCAACACACACAAACACGCATCTTTCCTGCCCCCAGATTTTACGGCTGTCAACACAGGTCCGACGCTCCAGAAATATTTACTTATTTTTGCCTGTCATCCATTTTATAGGTATGTAACAAAGCTTTATTTGTTTGACAGTGATAGGTAAGTGAACTACAAGTGTGATTAGAGGTCATAAAGTAACAAACATAGAATAACAATGCCATCGAAGCCTCGTGTTATTACGATAATATTATCCCCAGCTCAGAAAAATTCCCCGGTCAAGGTGTTAACTGAGCTGGTCTCTAGGCTGTTTATTTAGGCCCGCCCTATTTATATATTTTGTAAACCTTATTATGTTATATATTCTATTACCAAAGGTACCTATGAACTTTATACGTACCTTTGGTGAGCCGTAGCTTCACCAGTGACCCCTGAATCCTCTGCTTTTCTTGTGTTTCAACAGGAAACAATGCAATGTCTTTTTCATTTTCAGATCCCGTTTTCTTCACCCTTCATTATGGCTACTAAGAATAGAAACGTGGATGCCGAGTGTCGCGTTTTCAATGAATAATGGGGAGTAAAGTACTTCTTTGTGGAAACAAAGGACCAGAAAGCTAGTTGCGTAATATGCAGCGAAAGTGTTGCCGTTTTGAAAGAGTACAATCTTCGGCGTCACTATGAAACAAAACATCTATCAACATATTCAAAGTTTTCTGTAAAGTTACGCTCTGAGAAATATGAGTCCATGAAACGTGGTTTAGAAACTCAAAGAAATCTCTTCACGAGAAAGTTTGCTGAAAATGAATCTGTCGCTCGTACAAATTACAAAATAGTGCATAAGGTGGCAGAAAGAGGAAAACCGTTTACTGATGGCAACTTCATCAAAGAGTGTATGATGGAAGCAGCAAATGACTTGTGTCCTGAGAGAGCCGATTTGTTTGGAAGTATCAGCCTTTCGGCAAGTTTAGAGAGAACATAGTGCTACAGATACGCGAGAAAGCTAGGAACTTGTTGTGGTATTCTCTGGCGCTGGGTGAATCTAGTGATCTCTCGAGTACGTCACAACTTCTCGTGTTCATTCGTGGTGTCAATTTGGACTTTCAGATAACGGAAGAGTTGGCATCCGTTTGCAGCGTGCATGGAACAACAACTGGAAAAGACATTTTCATGGAAGTGCAAAAAACTTTGCAAGACTATAACCTTCAGTGGAATCAGCTTCGAGGTGTTACAGTTGATGGAGGAAAAAACACGGCTGGAGTGAGGAAGGGTGTGGTGGGGCAGATCAGGACTCAGTTGGAAGATTTGCAAATTCCGGGCGCTCTGTTCATACAATGCATCATACATCAGCAAGCACTCTGTGGGAAAGACTTAGATATTTCTTGTGTACTGAAACCAGTCGTTTCTGCTGTGAACTTCATTCGGGGACATGCACTCAATTACCGTCAATTCCAGGCTTTTCTTGAAGAAATGGATTCTGATTTCTGTGACTTGCCTCGTCATACAGCAGTGAGGTGGCTCAGCTGCGGTAAAGTCCTATTTCGTTTTTACAAGCTCCGAAACAAAATAGATGTGTTTTTTTCACTGAAAAAGATAGAGCTGAGTATAGGAATAGGTTTTACCCTTTTAACTGGCACAAAAACTGACACCTTTATTCAAGGCATCATGTTTGTGTCAGTTTTTGTGCCAGTTAAAAGGGTAAAACCTCTTCCTATATCTTGTTACTGGCAAAGGAGGTCTCATAATGTAAAATATAGAGCTGATCCACAGCTGTCAGATCCTACCTGGCTGTCAAAGTTGTCATTTTTGGTCGCCATCACATCCCACATGAATGAACTGAACTTGAAACTTCAGGGAAAGGATAACCTCGTCTGTGATCTCTACAGAATCATCAAAGGATTTCGGAAAAAGCTGTCATTGTTTGAAGCACAACTGGAAGGAGAAAACTTCTCTCATTTTCACTGTTTCAAAGAGTTTTGCGCTGCAATCGCTGAAGATGTCAACCTCGATTTTCATAAAAAGAATATTCGTGACTTGAAGCATTTTTTGAAGAGATTTTCAGATCTTGACAGAATTGAGAGTGACATTCTTCTGTTCCAGAATCCGTTTGATTGTAACCTTGATGATGTGCCAGTTGAACTACAGTTGGAGCTCATTGATTTGCAAGCAAATGACTTGTTGAAAGAGAAGCACAGAGAAG